CTGCTTGGTTGGGTAAGATGCTCATGGTCCCAGAAGCTGTGACTGACAAGGCGCAGACTTACCTAACCCCCACGACGAGGAAATAGGTTCAAGTTTTTGTAGGAATTTTGGAGTTTTAGAGGACTTTTATTTTCCACCTGGCACAGTGCCGCTGTCCCTTATAATGCCTGGTAAAGAAAGGACGAATGTGAGCCCTGGCTGGGTGGCTCATTTGGTTGGAATTGAGCTTGGTCTCATACACGAAGATGTTGTGGGCTCAATCCCCGGTCAGGATGCATATGCGAAACCACTGATAGATGTTTCTCTCCCTCTTCCCTTCCTTTCTCTCAAAAATTGATAAACATAACCTCTAGTGAGGATTAAAAGATAATGAATATTATAAAATAGAAAAAGGAAAAAGAAAGGACGTATGTGGGACTTGGGGAGAGAGAACAGCAAGCTACCTTTGAGAAGAAAAAATACCAGTGAAACCGATGGAAAGTCTGGGCATCTCCCAAGCAGGACTGTTATTTGAGTTAGATGCGTCTGTGACTCTGGAAGACACGGGTCAGGTGCTGTGGCTGAGACAACAGGAGAGCGCGCCCCTAGCATTTTGGTGCCCACTCTGGACGGGTACAGTAACCAGATATACTGCACAGAGCAACAGCTCTTCGCAGTGCACCCAGAACTCCAGCAGGTGGAGCCTCTCGCAAAGGAACAACTTCCTTACCAGTCAAGAGGGGGTTGAGAACAAACGGTTTTCCTGGGCGCAAGGGAGTCTGCCCCATGGTAGCAAAAGTTACCAGTCTCTCTTTCCTCAAGACCAGTGGGCACGTTTTGTTTCCCACTGGGGCTGAGACAGATTGGTAAGAAACTAAGAAAATTCCCTGGCAAGTGTGATGAGGAAATTCAGACAAAAAGCTGAACAAACGGCTGTGTAATGAGCAGCCAGCTAATAAATCACAAGACCCTATACTCCCTAACCAAAGGCATCTAGGAACAGATGGTTTAAATCTCTCCTCTCCAACCCAAGAGCAATGGCTTAAGTCCCCCTAGTCAGGGGGACAGATTTAAAACAAACAAACAAACGAACAAACAGATTAATCCAAGATAGAGGTGAAACTGACCAAGCTCATTTTGATGCCTCAGCACTTCAAGGACACACCTGGAAAGCTAATGAATGTTCTGTTGAGATCTTCTCATGGGAGCCCCCCTAAAATTCCTGCCTATAGAGAAGAGATAAAACTCGCAGCGCAGAAAATGCTAGTTTGTGCCCTCCCTTGTGTATGCCCGCACCCCTTTCCTTGGGAGCACACTTTTGATTTTTTTATCCTAAGCTCTAAAGCTTCTGATGAGACGAGACTTCCCACCAGGGAGCAGTGGGCAGCTAGTTCCCGGCTCACCCCCATCCTGTCCCCAAGGCCTTCCTCTTGCCTCACTGATCTGAGCTTTAATAAATTTACTCTCACTTGCACTCATGTCTTGACACTTCTCCTGCATGAGTGAAGAACCTGCACATCCCGTTCTAGTGACAGTATGGTCATTTGGCTGCCGTCTGTGTTCCCTCCATTCGCCTGGAGGACATCATAGCACACACAGAAGTCCTGACTTCATTCACCCAGCAAGCTTTCGACGACAACGCTTGTCCTTACTGAACATTGAAATGTCTCTAACTGAAACTGGAGGGCAACCGAGTCCGGGGCTCGTGCTGCCTGTCACCGCTCAGCCAAAAAGCAGAGACAGGGACTGGATTATAAATGCACTTTTATTGATATCAAAGGCCAGCAACTTGAGAAAGTGGCAGGTAAAAACCCCAACATCCATCTTCCCTTGGGGTTTCAGAAGCTAGTTTGTGTACGGGAAACGGGAAACGTAGGAATTTGGAGAGGGAAATTCCTAGGGGGAGCGCACACGTGCTGTGTTCCTCGGGAGGGGGAGCTGAAAGGAAGTCCGCAGCTCCTTCCCCAGCCAGCTCCTTTGTTCCAGTGTTATCTCTCTGTGCATTAGAATTCCTCTTCCTCTCTTCCCCTGGTGCCTGTGTTTTATGGCCAGGGAAGTTAGTATTCTCCGATTAGGGAAGATAAGGTTCATTAATTGGCTGTAAATTCCTCAATTGTTTGACTTGGTTTGATTTTCTTGTCTTAGTTTCCCCACTCGGCTTGCCCAGGAACTTTCCTAGCTTCTTACTGTCCTATCTTGTAACAAGAAAAGCGGCCCTCCAAAACAGGATGGACTTGAACATTATTACTGCCTTAAAAGGAGGCACCTGTGCCATTATGTGAGCAGAGTATTGTGTGTTCCTATCTGATGAGTCGGCTAATGTATAATTTTTATTAAATTGCATGAGGACACAAGTGAACAAAAGCCCTGAAAGATCTGATCCCCAGCCTAGGAGACTTAATGGATCAGTGGTTCAGATCATGAGGCTCTTTGTGGAAGAAATTGCTACTTGTATGGGGAATCATTATCTTAATCTATGTTTTCTCTTGCAGGTACCTATATTGTTGCTGTGTTATCTCCCTCCAGTGCAGCAACATGGCCCCTGAATGAGCCCTTGCTGATCACTCAGGGCACACTGCAGAAGACGGCGAACGTATAAGATCCTAAGAGATGGTCACAAGGGGTGGAATGTTGGAGGAGGTCATCAAGAGGATGTGATCGCATTTTGACCTTTGAAGTGAACCATGGTAATCAGAGGCTCACTGCCCTCTCCTGTCCTTGGGATGTACACTCCGCCCACTTTTTTCAAACCAGGAGCCAAAGTGTAACAGGTACCTGGAGTTGGGTGCTCCACCTGCCCCCACCCTGCTGGAATATAGGAGAAAGCCCGCAGAGCCCACGGTTGGGGGGGGGGGAGGTGGAGAATAGGTTTAGGATACTTTTCATAACAAAGGCCAGTTAAATAGCTGTGCTACTGCCATGGGGCAAGGTGGGTGTGATTTTAGACTGCCTACTAGTCAGGGGAGATGGAGGCCCCTGGATGTTGAGTGATGCTTGCCCTGACCGGGGATGGCAGCCCAATGAATGTAAACTGTACATAAAACTGGCAAATGTAGCTCATTGTAGGAGGAGTCAGAGGTGAGGTCATGCAGGGGGCTCCAGGTCAGGATTTAAACTAAGGGTGGTCAGCCACGAGGGATTTTCGGCGATGCAGCTTGGAAGGGAGGAGAAAGCCATGAAGGAGGAATGATGTAGCAGCCATGTGAGAGGGAGAAGTGAGCAAGCACCTACATAGTTTGTAATCAGGATCCGGCCACGTGGCCTGGTGTAGTGAGGATGGAGACATGTTGCTGCTCTGATTGCACCTGCTCTAGCTGATCCCAGAGACTCTCCCTTGAAAGGTGCCGATCTGCTGCCTGGCAAACCCGGACTCTATATGGACTCTCGGGACTTCCATCTATCCTGAACTTTACCATCAGCTGGTGTACCAGGGCACATGCTTTCCCGGACTATTACATGGAGGCTGATGACAACGTACCCCAGGTCCCAAAGGAGAGAGCTGCTATGAGAGTGTTTGCGCAGCCAGCTTAAATTCAGATACGGAGATGGGGAACTTTTGTGGTTTTTGGCTTATACCCTAGTCAGGAGCAAGGGAAGTGCTGAATCTCAGCACATAAGTGAGACCCAAGGCACCATGTGGATGGGCCTCAGTCTGCTCTGTTATAAATGCACAAACTTAAAAGTGATGTGTTGTTGAGACCATCTGGATGGTGTACATGACTGAATCTGGATAAGGTCTCTATATAAACTTTTAAGATTCTGGCAGGCAGTGTGGAGATCTACTCATCTTACAGCATCCAAGTTCACTTGCTTATTAAGCTAACACCTGGCAATCTGGAATGGTCTACCTCTTCCATCCGTCTCTGCTTGACTTCCGTGCACAGGGGCCAGTTTCAGATTTCGCCGGAGGAACTCCTGAGGCTTGGAACCAACGCTTTTCCTAAGCGGTGGGACTAACTAACAGGTTACTTCAAGGGAAATCTATGGTTTGTTCTTTTCCAGGATGTTTATGGGCATTTACTTTTGAATTTCATATCACTTTCACATGTCACTAAATAGTCTCCCTTCCCCCTCCCCCTTTATCCTCCTCCTCCTCCTCTTCTTCTTCTCTTAATTGATTTCATAGACAGAGGGAAAGGGGGGTGGAGAGAGAGAGATTGATTTGTTGTTCCACTTAATTGCATTCATTAGTTGTTTTTTGTATGTGTCCTGATAGGGGATGGAATCCACAATCTTGGCATTTCAGGACGATGCTCTAACCAACCGAGCTAATCCCGCCAGGGCTATTCTTCTTTTGATTTCCCACCCCAATCATTTACAAATATAAAAACCATTCTTAGCTCATAGGTCATACAAAACAAAACAAACGAACAACAACAACAACAAACCCCCCAAAAAACAACAGGCAGTGTACCAACCCATGACACTGTAAAAAAACGGGAAAACATAGAATAAATTATATTATGTTCCCTAATTTTCCATATTCCCCCGGGGAGGTGTAAAGGCTTGTTTCCATATTAAATACGTTTATATCTCATTTAAACAACTAATTGTATCTGTGAGTAAGTCCTCAAGTTTTCATGGCCTATGGTGGTCCGTATTTCTCGTTAACTAAACTAATTGCTGCGTAATCCATGAATGTTTCCTTTGGTATGACTTCCCAGAACTAGAACTGTGGGTTTTCCATACTTCTCCCTTCAATTTCCCTGGACCCCCAGAGCCCGTCTTTACAGAGGCTGTAACGCAAGGGCTTCTGGGGAGCGTAGTTCTGGCTTGCAGCTAGCGCGTCCGCGGGCGCTGAGCCGGAACATTTCCAGCGGAAGTTGCTTGGCGTGAGAAGGAAGGGAGACAGTTTTCCGCAAACGTCTCTGCTGAGGGTGCGCCTGGAGGACGCAGCGGGGCCGTGGCTCCGCGTGCCCATACGATTGGCCAGAGGCTTTCCGGGCACGCGCACGCGGCGCTTCGTGAGCCCCGCCCTCGAAGGTTGTCTGGGAGTTGTAGTTCGGCCTCCGACCCGAACTCGGCCGTCGAGCGGCGGCTCCGAAGGCCGAGAAATTCCACCGTCTTCAGCGCTTGGCTTGGAAGATGGAACCCGGGCCCGACGGGGCGCCGCTGGCTGGCCTGGCCTGGTCCTCGGCCTCGGCGCCCCCGCCGCGGGGATTCAGTGCGGTGAGCGGCATCGGGGGTCAGGGGTTGAACAGGGTCATTGGCGGCTGCGGGAAAAGCAGGAGCCTGGCTGTGACCCACGTCCCGCCGTAGATATCCTGCACTGTGGAGGGGGCTCCCGCCAGCTTCGGCAAGAGCTTCGCGCAGAAATCTGGCTACTTCCTGTGTCTCAGCACCTTGGGCAGCCTGGAGGTAAGGGGCGCCCACCTCCGGGAACCCCGGGATCTGCCCACTCCCTCTGTCCATTCGCGGGGTCCTACGCCAGGCCAGGAGCGCCGTCCCCGCTCCTGGGTGACTCTTGCTGTGTTCTCCCCACCCAATCCCCAGAATCCGCAGGAGAACGTGGTGACCGATATCCAAGTCCTGGTGGACAAGAGCCCCCTCCCGCCGGGCTTCTCCCCGGTCTGCGACCCCCTGGACTCCAGTGAGGCCCGCGTCGGAGGCTGGGGGTGGGGCGCGCGTCCGTGTCCCTGCGGGGAGGACTAGGGAGAGGGCTGGAGAGGTGACGGGCACGAGATTTCTGAGCCTCGGCCACGCCCTCGATGCACTGGGTGCTGACAGGGTTGGCTGAGGACTCGGAGCCCTGTTTCAGGGCGGGGTGACGGGCCTTGCCCTGCGTAGAAAGGTGCAATCGGCACCGTCTCTGTCCTAGAGTAACAACAGCGACCTGTTTTATTACTGTTAGTGCTACATCTCTTCTCCTTACACTATAGCCAAGATGAACCACGCGCAGTTCTTGTTTTTTATTTCCAGGCTTTCGCACATTGCGTTTCCTGAGCCTTTCCCTGCTCTTCGGGTTAGCTAATACTTCGCCCTCCCCACCCCTCCTTTTTGGCCCCTGTAGCCTTGAAGCTGCCCTTCCGGGCCTGATTGCGCTGCTTTCTAACCAGCTGGTTCTCCCTGCCTCCCACCGTGTCTTGTCATTTATATTTGATTCTCAGGGTGTGTGTATTGATACTGGAGTTAGCAAACTTTTTCTGTAAAGGGCCAGATAATAAGTATTTTAGGCTTTGCAGGCCAGGTGGTGTCTCTTGTATATTCTCTCCCTCCTCCACCAACTCTTAAAAACTGTAAAACTGTAAAACTGTAAAAAACCATTTGTAGGCCTCATGAGCTCTACAAAAACAGAGGCTGGGTGGGATGTGGCTCATGGGCACTCAGTTCTGTCTGATTCTGCAGCTACCCATCCTCACTGTGGTGCATATGGATGAGACTGCCTCAGTGGCTCCTAAAGGCTGCATGGAGTTCCCTCCTATGGCTATATCATTCATGATATAACTACTGTCCTAACACCATCCAGGTGACTGCCTTAAATAGCGCCCTGGCAACCGTCACCTTGGAGCCATCTTTGGGTCCCTTCCCTGCTTTTCCCTCTTCTCACTCCCCTCCCCCCCCACCCCAGAGGCCTCTGTGTCCAAGAAGAAACGCATGTGTGTGAAGTTGGTGCCCCTGGGGGCCGCAGACACGGCCGTGTTTGACATTCGGCTGAGCGGGAAGACCAAGACGGTGCCTGGATACCTTCGAGTTGGGTAGGGCTTCCCCCAGCCTTTGGCCTCCTTCCCCTCCAACTCCCGTGTATACGCTTCTGACCCTCAGGCATCCTCTGTCTCTTATCCCACCTGTCTGTGCCTCAGTTTCCACATGTCAAAACGAGGACAGCCGTACTAGTCTTGTAGGGTTGTCTTGAGGAATAAATAAGTTGCTGTGTCTGAAGTACACGGCGCAGTGATGGAACTCAGCAGTGGCTTCAGATGTGGGCTGAGATGCTGAAAGGAAAATTCCCCAAAATGGCAGGGGTTCCTCCTTTCCTCTCCGGGCTGTTCTCAGCCCTGGCTGCACCTTGGGTCAGAACTCCCACCCACCCCTCTTCCCTCCCCATCTAGGGACATGGGTGGCTTTGCCATCTGGTGCAAGAAGGCAAAGGCCCCTCGGCCAGTGCCCAAGCCCCGAGGTCTCAGCCGGGACATGCAGGGCCTCTCCTTGGACCCACCAGGCCAGCCCAGGTGAGTCCTTGGGCTTGGGGATGGGGGTAGTACTGGGGGAGGGGTCAGGCCTGACCTGGGCTGGCCCTTTGCTACCAGCAAGGGACGCTTCCCGGAGGGGACGTTGTCGAGACTGGGCTCGCGCGCCTCCACCCTGCGGAGGAGTGACTCCATCTATGAGGCTTCCAACCTCTACGGCATCTCAGGTGAGTGCAGGGTGGGAAACTGAGGCACAAGGACAGGGTGTGACTGGCCAAAGGTTTATACAGCCCAGAAGGGGTGGGGCCAAGGTTGGAACCACGCCTGGCTCCACCCCATCTGTAAAGGCTGGGCAGGGGGGATGGAGCCTGGTGCGTGGGCTGCTGGGGTGGGGTGGGCAGCACCCAGGCCCCAAGCTCCCTGCTCATCAGCTACTTACTTCCACCACCCCCAACCCCACCTGTGCTTTCCTCAGCCATGGATGGGGTTCCCTTCACGCTGCACCCCCGATTCGAGGGCAAAAGCTGCGGCCCTCTGGTGAGTGTGCCCTGGGGGAGCGTGGGTTGCCAGCCTCTGCCCACCGCCCTCCTAGTGCGGGAACACAGGGGCCACCGTCCATGCACCCAGCCCCCAGCACTGAGGCCCATGTTCCTGGGCGGGGGGAGGCTGGGGACCATGGGGTGGGGGCCGGAGGGCCTCTCTCTGGAATGAGAGGGTCAGGAAGGGCAGCCAGGTGCTGGTCGCCAGAGGCTGTGTCAGGAAGAGGGAGGGGACGTTCAGGCAGATATGGAGGGGGCCCTCCTTAAAGAAGAGGAAAAGGGGGTTCAGGTGGGGGTCTGGGCCCAAGACTGACCTGCCCCTGCCCACCAGGCCTTTTCTGCCTTTGCTGATCTTACCATCAAGTCGCTGGCAGACATCGAAGAGGAGGTAGGTGCTGGGGCAGGTAGGAAGGGTGGGGGTGTTGGTGCCCTGCCCCCCACCAGGCCACCTCAGTCTCCCGTGGCCACACCCCGCCTCTCTGGGGCTGAAGACTCTATCCGTCCTCCCCGTCTATTGTGGCACCCCTCACAGCCCCGCGCTCACCCTGTGCTCTCCCACCCCCCAGTACAACTACGGCTTCGTGGTGGAGAAGACAGCAGCTGCCCGCCTGCCCCCCAGCGTGTCGTAGCCCCTTTGCCACTCCAGGGAAGCATCTGCTCCCCGCACCGCGGGACTGGCAGCTGCCCCGCCCTAGCCCGTTTTGGGGACCTTGGCGGCGCAGGGCATTCTGGACCCTCAGCCACCTGGGAGGCTGCCACCATGGAGGAGGTGGACCTGGCTGCTTGGTGACAGGCCTCCTGCCCCAGTCCCTGCAGGGCAGGGGTGGGGGTGAGATGGAAACCAGTGCCTTCAAGTCATTTGTGTCAAAACTCTCTGGTGCCCGGAGGCCACATGGCTGTCCTCTTAGCAATAAACACTGTGCTGTCTGTCATCTGGAGTCCTGATCCTGGCCCTGGGTGTGGCTCGTGGCCTTCACCTTGTGCAAGCCGGGCAGCCGTGCGCCCAAAAACACGTGAAATCCTGGAGGGAGGTTGCGCTGTCACTGCTTGTATCCTGCAGAACGGGAAACTGAGGCTCGGCGAGGGCCTGGCCCAGGATTCTATACCGCAAAGAAGACCCTGTCCTGCTCCTCTGGCCTTGTGCAAAACAGTAGTAACAGCTACTATTTATCCCGGGGACCATGTGTCCGACACCTGAGACAGGGTTTCTCATTTAACCTGCCCGCACAGCCCAGTGGGAAGCCTGTGTTTTGTCATCATTTTACAGATAGGGAAACTGAGGCAGGGAACTGCTAAGGTCCCAGCTGGGATTAGAACCCAGAGCCTGCTCTCAACCAGGAAGCTGCTGTGTGCATCCCTTTCCCTCCACTGTGCTACGGGTGCATGCGCATGCGGTCGACCTTCACTCTTTGCAGTAGTTCCGTTTCATGAAGCTGTGGCAAAGAGTTGAATCAGGGAGTACTGGACTCTTTGGCGGAACGGCTGGGTTTCTATGAGTCTCCGGTCGCATTTTTGTCAAGTGTTTGATACATGGCCTTGTTTTGTGTGTGTGTTAAGATACCGTGTTTATTATATGTACTGCTGATTTGTTAGCATTGACCTCACCCCCAACAGCAGGTTAACTCACACCTGAGCAAAGCTTATCTAACACGTGTTGTCTCTGAAAGGCACGTTGCAGCCTCCTGGAGCTTAGGGACACCCTCCAGCACTAAGCTCAGGACCTTTTATAAACAATGCCAAGGAAAAGCATAAAAATGTGGAAAATAGACTGCAAAAAGACTCGTTTACAGCCTGTGTGCACCTCCGCTGTGGACATGCGCCTCCTGGGACTCGAAGTTCTCCCTGCTCCGTGCCTGTCTTCCAGTGACCACAAAAGCACCAGGAGTATGTGGATTTGCAAATCTGGAATCTGCCAATAATGAGGGTTGACTGTGAGAAATTAACTGCCCCAGGCTCACGTTCTGTCACCTGTGTGCTTCCCCTTTCTGCTCTCCCCCACATCGCTGTGGCAGCAGGGTGGCCCGGGCTCTGCCGCTGTCAGGAATGTCCCCAGACCTCTGTGGCTCAGAAAGGCGAAGGCTTTTTTCTCATCCACACCACATCCCCGCGGCGGTGATGCAGCGGACTCTGCCGGGTGTAGTTGTGCAGAAATCCACCTGGAGGGGCGGCCCCTATCCGCCCTGACGGTGGGGACAGATAGGCTCAGGGAGTCTTGCATTGTTAGTTAAATACCCTGGCCAGGAAGTACCTTCCTCAAGTTCTGCTCACAGCTCATTGGCCGGAACAGGTCCCATGGGACCTGAAGGAACCACCCAACGTGGCCCCTGTGTCTAGCAACACTGCCCCAGGGGTCTCATGTCGGGGGACTGCCCTGCACAAGGTTCTGAAGGAAGAGGGTTCCCTGCTCTGTGGTCTGAGAGGCAAAATTCTACTCTGGGGGTCTGATGGGGGGAGACTAGCCTTGTTTTAGGGTCTGAAGGGGGAGACAAGCCCCAGCTCTGGTTTGAGGAAGGAGAGGCAAAGCCCTGCTCTGGGGGGTTTAATGGGGGAGACAGCTCTCCCGGAGGAGGTGGGGGGGAAGACCATGCAAAATGTACCCCTCCCCCACACGCTCAGCTGCCTTGAGAAAAGTAGGCCTCCAGGGCTAAGGTATCTCCCACATCTCCCACTCTGGGCTCTGCCAGCCCCAGCCAGGTCTCGCCCAGGCTGCTCTGGCGCCGGCCTGGGAATTCGATCTGGTTGGAAAGCAAAGGCTGTTTGTTTGCCCTGGTCGCCTTCTCTGCCACCCTGAAACCAGCCCTGGATCACTTTCCAGGGCAACCATGTGTGATCGGGGCCCTTGGATAACCTGTGCTGGCCTCCGGTCTAACTGGACCAGCCGTCATGGGACCCTGCAAAAAATCCCAACCGTCTGAGGCCTGCTGGACCTGGGCCTTCCCAGCCCCCTGGAGGGTCCAGGGCCATATCAGTCCAAACGGCCCCAGGCTGCGCCAGCATCGTCTTGGATACAGAGAGAGCAAAGCCTCGCTTTTCTTGCCTTTTCCTCACTCCCAGGTGCTGAGAGCCAGGCATTGCAGGAACCTGGGTATCGAGGGGGACGTTTCTGGAGAGACAGGGTCGCAGCTCCCCTGCTCACTAACTGGTGACCCTAAGCAGTGACTTAACCTCTATACATCTAGAACATGTCATCACCCTAAAAGGAAAACCCATTAGCAGTCACTCGCCCAGCCCCTCCCCTAGCCCCTGACAGCCACCAGTCTGTTTTCTGTCTTTGTGGGTTTGCCTGCTCTGGATATTTCATATAGAATCATGAACACGTGACCTTTTGTGTCCGGCTTCTTTTACTCAGGGCGGTGTTTCCGAGGTTCATCCACGCTGTAGCCTGTGTGAGGGCTTCACTCCTTTTCAAGGCCGAGTGATACTGTGTGGATGGACCACATTTGGTTCATCCATTCAGTTCGTGGGGCACTTCCGGTGACTGGCTAGTGCTGCTGTGAACATGCACATACGAGGATTTGTTTGAACACCTGTTTTCAATTCTTTTAGGCCTCCTTAAATTTTGTACTCCCACCCTAGTCCTGGCCCTGGGGATGAGGTCGAGGGGTCCAGCTCCTAGTCCCCCTGACCCGTGCTGGAGGCCTCCCGCACTGGCGACCGGCCAGCCGGGTCCATCCTTCCCTCTTTCGCCCCTCCTCCAGCTGCATCCCCAAGGCCTGCCCCGTCCCAGGGAGTTCTCAGAAACTGGAGTCTCCAGTATTCCTCAGGCACCTGCTCTGTCCTGGGTCTCTGCGTGGTGGGGTTCCAGCCATTGCTGTTATGTGGCCTCACTTCTCAGGCCTCAGTTTCCCCAGCCCTGAGTGGGGTTGTCCTGAAGATTAACTGAGGACAGGAAAGCACCTGGCCCGTGCCTTCAATACCAGGCATGCAATGAAGACATAACACTTATCCTTATTTTATCCTCTTTGTTGATAGGCATCATGCTCACCAAGAGCCCAAGCTCACTGGGCACCCATGTGTCAGATGCCACATGGGATGCTCATGTGACCCCACCCCACTGGTGAGGAGGAAGTCTGCAGCTCCCTGGGGACCCAGGGAGAGATGGCCAAGGTTGGTGGGGCACCCAGGTCTGTAATCAGCTGGGTCTCCACCTGGGGTCAGGCTTGGGGACTGGCCCTCCCTGCTGGGTGCTGTCACTTCTCTGCCCATCGGGAAGGGTCCCGGGGGCTTCCTTTGCTGCCTTTGAGGCTCCTCTGCTACTTGGGCCCTAGAGTCCCCATGTGGCTCAGGAATGGACAGGGTGGAAGACTTTTGGGGATATCTGTACATTTGGGGTAGGGGTGTGGGGGGTCAGGTCATCCCTACCCCCAGTGAAATTGATATACATGAAGATTTGTGGGAGATGGTTCCCAGGCGGGTCTATAAGGAGCAAACCCTCTGTCTCCCACTCCTACCCACCTCCACCCTTGTCACCCCCACCCCTTACCCCAAGCCTGGGCTTGGCCACGAAGGACATTCAGGTGTGGCCCAAGTGATGTGGAGATAGTGAGGGTCAGAGTTTACTTCCGGGTCCCGCGGGACGGGAGCGGGGCCAGGGCCTCTGGAGACTCATAGGGCTCCGAGTCATCCACCCAAGCCCTGTCAGTTCCAGGAAACCCAGAAACTGGCCATCAACCCTTCTTTTCCAGCTACCAGGTGCCCTGACAGACAGCATCACAGGCTGACACACATTGAAGACCTACTGTGCCCAGGCCCCCCGGAATGGCTTGCACAGTCTTATGGGAGTCCCAGGTGGAGGGATTGATTCTGTCCCCATTTTATAGACGAGGAAACTGAGACACAGAGCGGTGAAGCCCTCAGCCACAGACCCACAGCCAGGAGTCTGGGTGCAGTCCTTTAGGATGCTGTGGACCTGGACTGCTCTGAGCTCTGCACACAAAGATTTCAAAGGCTCACAGACCGGAAGAAGTCGCAGAGACTTGCACTGTCAGCAGCATGGGGGTTACAGGACCCAGGTTCGAATCCTGGCTCTGATGCTCAGTACTGGCCGGGGGACCCCTGGTGAGTCACTGCCCTCTCTGGGCCTCGGTTTCCTCATCTGTAAAATGGATGAGGACATTTAGAGAGCCACTGCCTAAGCCCCACCCTCCTTTCCTATTCCAGAACCTCAACTGTCTGTACAGCTACATTTCCCAGTCTCCCCTGCAGCAAGATGTGGCCATATGAGTGTTCTGGTCAGCGAGGTATAAGCAGAAGGGACCCAGGGCCTCCCAGGAAGACTTCCAAAAGATGCTGAGCCAGCTTTGGCCTCTGCCTTTCTCTCCGAGTAAGGACATGAAGGCTGGAGCCTGGCAGCTATACTGTGCCATGAGGCAACCTTGAGGACCAAAGCCAGGGATGCTGTGAATTGAAAAATAAAAAAAATTGTATTGCTACTGTGACTGATCCTGGACATATCTCTATAGAGAGCTCTTTCTGCTGCCTGAAACCAGCTCTCTATCCCTGATCCCTGAGCTCATACCAGTGTGGAGTCTTTCCCTGAACCCCCTGGCTTGTGGCCCAGCATGCTGCGCATCTCATGGGTGACCCCTTCCCAGTGTCCTCCACCAGCCAACAGTGTCCTGTGCATGCGGGATACAGGCAGGCTGCTCTCCCGGCCCCCACCCACAGCTGCAGGTGCCGAGGCAGTGACTGAGGGTCTGAGGGGGTCCCCAGGTTCTGGGCAGAATGAGTAAGGGGTTTGGTGGTGGGTACCCTGCTGGGGTGGAGCCCCGGGGCTGGCCTTGGAGACGTCAGCAGAGCGGACAGGGTCGTCTTCAAAGTGCGGTGGGGACAGCTCATGGAGGCCACGGCGAGTGGCCCGGGCAGCCCGGAGCAGAGTGTGGGTCAGCACAGCCACCAGGGCCAGGGCACCCAAGCCGAGGATGGAGGCGGCTGCTGCTCCTGCCTCGATCTCGAAGAGCAGCAGGGCGTAGAGAGACAGTGCTGGGGGAGAAAACACTTCTCATTTATTCAGTCAACAAACATTTGCTCTCTAAGCCCTGGGGGAGCTTTCCAAAGAGGGGGGCAGTCATTCAGAACTGACCAACAGGGCAGGCACATGGATTAACTCATCGGACCCACTCACAACTCATACCGTCATGATGTCAAATTGATGATGAGTTAACTTTGTTATATGTACTTTAGCACAACTAAAACAACCCAGATCTCAGATTTCCTGAATCCCTGTGATTGGCCTTGAGTGAATCAGAGCTCCTCTCTGGCCTCTGTTTGCTGATCTGAACAAGATGGGTGGTGACCTGACCTTGAGGACCTGTATTGGTCTCTGTCTCCCTGTCCAGTATCCAGCTGGCACCATTCTTTACTGTGGGGACTATCGCATGCATTGTAGGACATTTACCAGTGTCTACCCACTAGATACTAATAGTACCCTCCTCCTACCCTGCTGTGGCAACCAAAAACATCTCCCAACATTGCCAAATATCCCCTGGGATGTAGAATCAGCCCCCACTGAGAACTGCCAGTCCAATCTCTACCCCCCAACCCTGGGGGCTGGTCTAGGAGCTCTGACCCACCCCTGTGGCATCAGTGCTGTGTATGGTACTAGGTTTGGCCAATCAGAACGCTTCTCTAGTTGTAGTGATTGGTGTAGGGCTTTCACATGACCCAAGCTCAGCCAATTAGAGTCAACCCTAAGACTCTTGCTTGGGATAGGAGGACCTAGGAATTTCTTACTGCATTTCCTGGGGAACTTGTAAGAGAGAAGCCCAGGGCTGATAGAGGACTTTTTGGCACTTTGCTGGGTATTTTTATGCCTTCTCTGGCTCTTCACTTTTGCTTCTGAAGATGCCACATTGCATCATGTATGACATTTTAAAGCAAGGCTGAGGACTTTTTTGCTCTAAACTTTTTTCAAATTATAAGAGAAAATTAATTTAGAAAGTTACAGAGGTAGAAAAGGTGAGCCAGCTGGGCTGCGTGGGCTCAGGAAATGAGTCAGAGGCAAAAGAAGGGAACTTGGAGCTTAGCAAAAAGAAAGGCAGAGCCCTGGCTGGCATGGCTCAGCGGATTGAGCACTGGCCTGTGACCAAGAGGTTGACGGCGCCTCCAGGTCAGGGCACTTGCCTGAGTTGAGAGCCAGGTCCCCAGTTGGGGTGCAAGTGAGAGGCAACTGATTGATATTTCTCTCCCACTCTTTGTCCCTCCCTACCTGCCCCCCTTTAAAAAAATAAAAAATAAAAATAAAAAGGCAGAGAGAACATGCCTTGGGAAGGAAAGGGGGAAAAGCCTAGTCGTGATCAAGAGAGAAAAAAAGTGCACCCCTCTAAACATTTTTGAAAAAGATCTTTATAATTATCCTTTTTTGTCTCTGGTTAGCAACAAATGGAGGATTGGCTGGACATGCTGGGGAATTCTTGCCAAGTGAGCTCACCTAACCTCAGAAAAGAATCTAAATGGGAGCTGAATGATTTCTTAATTTAATGCTGAATGAAACTGACATAGTTACCTTTTTTTCCCCCTTTTGTGAGTTTTCTCGAATATTAGAAGTAGGATACTGTACTCTCTAAGTCTCCGACATTTTTGTTGGCTCATGAAAAGACTGGAGGCTGTAGGCATTTTGCCAAAAGCACTCCAGGAGACAGGCATCTTTCTCAGGGGACGGCGGGTGAAGAGGTGAAGCAAGAGGCGTTTCCGATGGCCTCATTTGAGCGCCTGGATTCAGTCACACCCGAGGCCAACAAACCCTGATCTTCTCAGATACATGAGTCACCCCATTCTCTCTCTCTCTCTCTCTTTTTTTTTTAAACCCACATCTGGAGCATTTTATTAAATCAAAAGTTATGCAGAGTTCCCTGCACTTTATATACAAATTTCCACAATGAGCCCTAAGTTCACATCTTATAAATACATATTTTAAATATATCTTCTAAACTTCTATTTCTCTCTTGTGGGACCAAGAAAAAAACACTGATAGTAAATCCCTGTGTTTCATTCAACTGAGTATTTCCCCCCCCCAGTTAAACAGGTTGTTTATCAGGCTGCCAGGGGTCTGCAGACCATCAACACATTTTTCAAAATTACAACCAAATATAGGTGTCAGGAGTTTCTTTAAAGAAACTTGATGATTTTATCAGCAGGTACGAGAGCACATAGATCTAAGAAAAGGCATTACAAGTCAGGGAAGAGAAGAGAGGGCGATGTGTCCTCTGGCATCCAGCTAACTATTTCTTACTTGGCTTCATGGTTGGGGATTTAAAATTGCATTTCAGGTTTATAAGGTGTGCTTTTTCCCCCTTAAGTCAGTCTTGAGCTGGAAGTTCTGATTATTTGTAGCTAAAACAATTTTTTGCTAAGGCCAACCTCTGACATGCTATTTCCTGAAATCATCAAGGACACAGAAAATTTTGTTCAAATGTAGAAAACTGATGAATCAGAAGAGTTCTGAAGACAAGTACCATTGCTGAATCCCCCCTCCCCTGATGGAGCCAGATGTTTTCAGGCTTTAAGTGGATTAACTCAAAATCCCCTTAGCAAGTCTATGAAGCAATGAATTGTTATCATCCAATTGTACTGATGAGAAAACTGAGACACCGAAGGAATTTTCCCAAGGCCCCAGAGCAAGAGAGTGTCAGAGCCAAGAGTCAAACACAGGCAGGGTGGCTCCAAAGTAGACCCCAGTTATGGGACCATTACCCCTGGCCACCCCAACCCAAAGTCCTACATCCCCTGTCCTATACCCCAGTACGTACCTGCTAAGTAGACAGAGACCCCACAGCAGAAGAGGCCAAGGGCTATGTGTCTGAGGAGGCGGCAGTCGTAGAAAAAGCTATCAGACCTGGGAGGGAAGACGGCAGGACGAAAGGGCTCAGGAGGTGGAGCTGGTTGGGGAGGACTGGGAGGGAGGGAATGGCCCAGCTTTGGGGAAACGAGATCTACATGAAGATCTATGCATCCTTCCAGGTAAACGTTCACCACCGTTTACCATCTATCCATCCCCATCGATTATTCAACTGCCTGGCTATCCGTCCATTTAACCATGCCTATGAATCCATCCATCCATTCGTCCATCCATCACTGCAACCCTAGCTCTAACCCATCCATCCGTCCACCGTCCCTCTCCCATTCACCATCCATCTGTCCATTCATCCATCCCTCACCCACCGCCCATCCATCCATCATCCATTCCCTTCCCCAATAACCCATCCATATACATCAGGTCATTCAAACACTGAACGCTCACAAAGCAGCTATTATTTACGGACACTTTCTAGATACCTAACTTCCGTTACTTTACAGACCATAAGTTTATTTGGCAGATGAAGAAACTGAAGTTCACTTGCTACCAGTGATTAGATAGAAACAGATTCTCAAAAGCTGACACCGCGGACCTAGTTTGGAGACTGGCGCCGGGCGGCGGGCTTCTGCAGTGGGCACTCTCTGAAAGTCATCTCCCACCGGTACAATGGAAGTGCCTCCTCCCTGGTCTCCCTGCACTTAGAGCTAAGTGTTCCCTAAATGACAAGCGCTTTCACCACTTAGCTAGCTGACCCCGGGCCTCTCTGAGCCTCAGTTGCCATATATGTAAAATGGGTGGTTGGGGGCGCGGCTCGCAGCAGCAGTTGCACCCGCTGTAAATTTTCAACTAATAAAGAGTGGAGGAAGGGAGGCAGGGAAGGAAAAAAGGAGCGAGGCAGGGAAAGACGATGAAGGGATGGGGTAAGGGAGGGAAGCTCCCCCCGCCCCACCTGAGTCCCAGAGAGGGGCAGTGGCTCTCCTGGGCTCGCCCAGCCCTGGGCCGGGCGGAAGGGCCAGTCCTACCTGCCGGGGCCGGGCCCCCTGGCCAGCTCGGCGCCCAGGTGACCGCAGAGCGCGGCGAGCAGCAGGCAGGAGAGGCCCAGCACCAGGGTGAGCGCGGCGAGCGCGGCGGCCAGCGGCAGCAGCGCCCCGGCCGCGTCCTCCGGCAGCCCCGGGCCCTCGCCCAGCTCCGGACCCAGCCCGTCAGCGCGCAGCCCCCGCAGCTCTGCGCGGCCCGCCTGCAGCTGGAACAGCAGTTGCGCTCCCAGCGCCGCCAAAACAGCCGCCGCGACGGCCAGCAGGATCATCGCGACCAGCACCCGGCCGCCGTACGAGCGGGCCATGGCGGGGGTCCTGCGGGCGGGGGACAGTCGAGGAGTTAGAGGTTTTCCGGGGCACTGGAGTTGGGGGTGGCGGGGGTCCAGGAGGGGGGCGTCGCAGAGGTGTCTGAAAGTTGGAAGGGCTTCAGGGGCCTCGGGGTCCTGGTCGCAGTGGGGACAGGGAAGCTCCGCGAAAACTTCGGACGGTCTTTTTCCTCCCTCCGAGGACCCTGCGGGCGCCCCCTCCCGGCCTCAGGTGCAGGCGGGGAGGGGCCCTTGAGGGGCGGGACCAAGAAGGGCGGAGCGGCCCCGGGAGGGGCCGAAGGCGCGGTGGCTCCATCCAGGGATCCCGACGGGTCCCTAAACTCATAAAAGCACCCGCCCCGCCCGCCCCGCCCCGGCTCCCGGCGCTGGCCTGAGCACCTGCTTTATTGCTTTTGTTTCTTAAAGACACTTGAACAAATTTTTAAATAATTCGCTTTGATACTTAGTCTCTACCTGCGGATCTTGCAATTGTTTGTGATTTCCCGTTTGCTCACCTTCTTTCAAGGCTTTGCAAAAGGGTCGCCACCTTGGCCAGGCCCTCCTGGACCCCCGCCGCCATCGGGCACCCCAGCCCTTCGTCGTCGCTAGGCTTAGTTATAACAACGGCACTTTTTTTGTTGTTACTTTGTTTTTAAGTTTTAAAAATGACGGTGAAATTTACCTGACATGAAATTTCCCATTTTATTTTTTAAAAATATATTTTTATTTATTTCCAGAGAGAGGGGAAGGGAAGGAGAAAGAGAGGGAGAGAAACATCAATGTGTGGTTGCCTCTCATGGCCCCCTACTGGGGACCTGGCCTGCAACCCAGGCATGTGCCCTGACTCAAATAGAACCAGCAACCCTTTAGTTTGCAGGCCCGCACTCAGTCCACTGAGCCACACCAGCCGGGGCTGAAAGTTCTCATTTTAAAGCAAACAATTCTGTGGCATTTGGTGCATTCACAATGTTGTGCAACCACCATCTCTATCTTTTTTTTTTTTTGGAACGAATTGGTATGAAAAGGCTAACTTGAAATAGGGTTGCTCTTATTTTTTAAGAAAAGAGTTTATTTATTTTTAGAGAGGGGAAGGGAGGGAGAAAGAGGGAGAGAAATATTGCGTGCTTGCTTCTTCCCTGCCCCTAACTGGGGACTTGGCCCAGCAACCCAGGCATGTACCCTGACTGAGACTTGAACTGGTGACCCTTATGGTTCGCACACCGGCGCTCAATCCATTGAGCCACACCAGCCAGGGCGGGTGGTTTTTTGTTTTTCTCTATGCCTATCATTTTTTCTATAAGCTAAATCTGTAACTGTAAAGTAGGCTGGTTACACAAACTGCATGGGGCAAAGTAGAGGGCTTAGATTTTATTTATTTTTAGAGAGCAGGGAAGGGAGAGAGGAAGAGCGGGAAACACATGTGGAGGGACCTCAATTGGTTGCCTCTCACCTGCCCCCAAATGGGGATCTGGTCTTCAAACCAGGCATCCACCCTGACTGGGAATTGAACTGGCCAACTTTTGATTTGCAGGCTGGCACTCAAGCCACTGAGCCACACCAGCCGGGGCCTGTTATTTTTGTTTTTTTATTATAGTTTTCCTACTGATGTGAGGTGGTATGTCACTGCTGTTTTGATTTGCACTTCCCCAGTAGCTTCTGACGGTGAGCATCTTTACATGGGCTTGTTGGCCTTTTGTGATTCTTTTTTGGAGAGATGTCTGTTCACATCCTTTGCTTATTTTTCAATCTGGTTGTTTGTCTTGTCTCCCCAAGCACTTTGCATCCTGCAGTTCCCCAGTGTCCAGGGCCTCCAGCTGGTGGGGTGCACCAGGACAGCAGGGTGTCTGCTCAGGTGTCTACCAATGTGTTCCCTTAGTGCCTTGGACTGCACCCAGCACACCGCAGACCCTCAATAAATGCTTGCTGCACCCATGAACGAACGAATGAATGGCACTTCTGCTCTGGAATTCCTGCAAAGTGTGAAATATCAAATCTAAACATGGTTTCACAGGTAACACATACCTGATAGATCCAGAATAGTGTGAAGGAGCCAATCCGGCCTTCTGCAAGCAGGGCCCTGCCTTAATGCATTTGCGTCTGAAAGGCAGCAGAGTCATCGTCTGGGCTTTATGGGTGAGGAAGCCAAGGCACCGAGAGGTGCACTGGCTCCATAGGTCACACAGCTTAACACGGGCAGGGCGATATTTGGACCCAGCATGGTTCTGATACATTGCTCTATACAATTTTAGAGACACACTAGTTTTGAATTTCCAGGTCTCTTTTCTGATTTTGGGGGTCTTTTTCTTTGGTTTCAGATTTTCGGGGTCTTCTGGGAAGAGTTTAAGGGTCAAGAGTCCTCAGCCCAATGTCTTGTGGATAAAATGACCTTGGAGGAAACTAAAGCTCCAAGTGGCCTCCTTCTTTGCTGTGTGACTTTGGGTAAGCACCCTAACTTCCCTGGGTTTCCTCATTGGTTACAAAAATCAGTTCATTCATTCATTCATTTACCAGGCTTCAGCCCAACACGCCCAGCCTCCTTCATCACCAAAGGTAAGAAAAAAATCCCAAGTTGGGGTAGCTGGGGCTCAGCGTCTCATTTGGAACAAAGCCCCAGCTCTGTTCCTGGTGTTGGAGATACACAGATGTAAGAGAGTTACAGTATTCATTCGACAAACATTGAGAGGGAGCCCACTGGGTACTGGTTCCTAGGCTCTGGAGACCCAGTGGGAACTATGGCAGGCCCAGCTTGCCCTTCTCGGGCTCACGGCCTGGTGGGGAAATGCACAGGCTAAACCAGACAAGTAAAGGGACAAGTCCATATAACAGCCAAAAGTCATTAATGCACTGTCTTAGATCTCACCTTTATTTGTTGGGGACTAGGGAGGAGGGGTGTTCACAGCTACCAAGACCCGGCCCTTCCCTTTGTGTGTGGGTGACTTTCTAGTTGGCATATCTGGCTTCAGCTGGGAAAGTTAACCCTGCAAGTGGAGACACTCCGTGGGTGACACTCTGAGGGTGACTGCATCTGCCTTGGCCAGGTGCCAGCTGTGCCTTCCCCACTACAGCCAGGACAGGTGGGGGTGGGGACGCAGAGGTCCTAATTCCTGTTTACTGGGAACGATGGGACTCGAAGAGGGTCAGCGACTTGCCCACATCACAGAGCCCTGGCCTCACCGCCCAGGTGGGGAAGGCTGGCCACTGCGTGGTGTGGGAATAATAATCAAAATATTGATGGGTCGCATGTCTTGAGGTTTGCTCTGGAAGGATGTTTTATAACTTTTACTTCCAAAAGCTGCCGGCGAGCCTGCAACCTATCAGGTATGTCTGAATTTAAGAGCCGTTATCACACAGGATCTAATGCACGGCTGGGCTTACGGAGGTCCACAAAGAAAAAACTGGCTGGAACCGGAAACAGGTGGTATTTCTGACCTGATCCTCAATGTCCTCACCTGGAGACTGGGGATTAGGGGTGAGCATAAAACGAGGCACCCGCTGGTCCAGCCCGCAGGCCTCCCAGGCCTGGTGGCGCATCGTGTCACCTCTTCCGGAGATTGGGTGCAGGGGGGAGTCCGACCTCCGCCCCTTGGGCCGCAGGCGGCCAAGATGGCTATGAATGCGGCCCAATACAAAATCGTAAATTTACTTAAAACCTCTTTTTTTTCCCTCGTCAGTTTTCATTAGTGTTTGAGTTTAATGTGTGGCCCAGAGACGCCAAAAGATTGGACACCCCTAGCTGGCTCCGCTCTCTAGACCACGACCTACCATCCCTCCTTTAGGCGGCGCCAGAGGCGAAAGGAAGAGGTTCCTGGCGCAGAGACCGCTCCAGCTCGGACTTCTTAGGCGACCTGCCAGACAGCACCTGGCCGTAGAGTCATTTCCCAGAAGAAAGGAGGCTTAGAGAGGGGAGGTGACTGTCCTCCAGTCACACAACCAGGAAGTGGGTCCAGACTGGAGTTGTGAGTTGTTGTTGTTTTTAAATTTATTGATTTTAGAGAGAGAGTAAGAGAGGGAAACATCTATTTGTTGATCCATTTATTATTTATGCATTCATTGGTTGGAGTTTTGATTTTTGATTTCTCTACTCTGCTGTATCTTCCTGAATATTCGAGATTCACCAGGGATAAGGGAATTCCTGGTCTAGGATGGCGGTCTGTGACCCCAGCATCCATGGCTCCAAGTTTTGAAACGCATCCCGTGTAAACTATAAAGGATTGTTGTAATCTTGTACATGGAATATATGGAAAACTCATTAATGTAAGATGGGCTGAGCATTCTCAGCACGCTTATTCGATTTTATTTGCATTTTCCCCATTTTGGAACCAGTAACGATTCCACCTCACCCAGGTCTTAAAAATATTGTGGAGACCACGGACAGGAGGCTTAGACGCGCACCTCCGGAGGACCAGGGCGGGCCCTAGATCCATCCCCCATTGGGTGAGGGTACCTCACAGAGAGACTCCGCCCCACCCTAGGTCCCCCCTTTCACCTGCGGGGCGGGGTCAGGGGGATCAGAACAGATTTCCCCAGTTTCCGCCCTGCTTCTCCCTAGAATTTCATCAAAACCCTGTCCTCTCCAAGGGTCGGGCCTCAGACCCTTCCCACTCCCCACCGTTCGCCGTCTCCTCGCATCGGGGACAACTCAGAACAGCTCCCCCACTTCCCCCTCCCGCCCCCCTGCTCTGGCCGGAACTCCAAATGCTCCGTCCCCACGCCCCCGCCGCCCCGTCCCCTTCGACCCCGGTGGGGCTCATCTCTGATTCACCTGCGCCCTCCAGCCCTCCATCTTGGGGGGCTCCGAATAGCCCCCGGCTCCGCCGACCGCCTAGTGGGGATCAGGCCGCACCATTGACCCGCCCCTTGTCCAGCTGTTCTCCCTCCCCAGGGGGTCAGAACAGCCCCCCGGCCCTGCCCTCCGCTTCGACCTCCGCCCGAGGGTCGCCCCCTCCACCCCGGCCGTGTGCGCCCCGCGCCGCCCGTTCCACGCGGTACTTGCGGCGGCGCAGCGGCTCCGTGAGGCTGCGCGGCGCGGGGTCGTCTAGGTCCTCGGGCTGCAGGAAGCTGCGGTCCAGCACCTCGGCTGCCTCCTGCCAGTTGGCGAAGCAGGCGGGGCCCAGGCGCCGGATCTCGTCGGCCGCGTCGCGCGTGAGCACGTCCCCGCTCGGCTTGAGCACCACGACGGCCGGCAACCGCTCTACGGAGAACTGGCGTCCGAGGTCCCTGCGGGGCAGGCAGGTCAGCGGCCCGGCGCAGGGAGCCCCATATCCCTTTACCTAGTACTTACTGAGCGCCTTCTTTGGGCACTGCCCGGACCGGGCGGTGGGGAAGCCTGGGGACCGGGGCTGGCTGGGTCACAGCGGCCTCTGCGCTGTGCTTCCACCAACACCCCAGACTCGCTCCCGTCTCAGGGCCTCTACACAGGCCAGTGCCCTCTGCCCAGTGCACGCTCCCCGGACCTCTGCCCGTCGAGACCCACCCTCAAATACCAACACCTCCCTTTCCCTTCGCTGGCCAGCGCCTCTCAGCATCCGACACATTTGCATAGTTGACTTCTCCCATTTCGGCCGCAATAGACTGTAGCTTCACCAGGTCACATATTTTTGTTTTCATTCACTTGTGCCCCCAGTTCCTGAAACAGCGTGGGACGCAGAGTAGGTGCTCCGGAAATGTGTAGGGTGAACGAACGTTGATAAATGCTGTGAAGAAATCTGAGCGAGGGGCTGGTGGTGAGGGAGGGCCTCTCCAAGGTGACCTTTGAGCTGAGACCTGCAGGAGGGGGAGGGGAGGCCTGGGGCAGGGGTGTCCCAGGCAGCCCGCGCTGAGCGTCGAGCCAGGAGAGAGGTTGGTGTGCTGACTTGATCTCACAGGTCCCCCAGGGACGCCACCCAGAGTTTAAACTTTCTTCTCAGTATGAGGAGGGAGCCCCTGAGAAAACATCCACAGCCCCAGGAGACCCAGGACCAAACCCCGATCTAGGCCAGAATCCCTCACAGTTGCCACGGAGTCAAGGGAGCTGTGGGCCACCACACACAGCTCTTAATTTCTACCCATTTGTTCCTGGTGGCCCTTTTCCAGGCCGTCACACGGAGAACACATGATACTTGCAAAACCCCACGGGAGTAGGTTGCGAAGCTCAGCAAATAAAAAGACAGGACATCCAGTTACATCTGAATCTCATATAAACAAATAAATTTTAGTATGTGTCTGTCGCATGTTATGTGTGGGGCAAACTTACATTAAAAAATCATAGTTTGTGTGAAATTTGTACTTCACTGGACATCCTGTGCTTTATCTGGCAATCCTGTGAGTGGGTACTGGGTCACCTTCTCCAGATACCAGCTGGCTGAATGTGTTTGTTGAGAGGATGATGCCCCTGGGCGGGCATTGTTGCCAGTTCCAGGCAGAGAACTCCCTCCGCTGCACAGGGCAGCGGGAGCGCGCCAGCGTCCAAACGCTGGTAATCTAGGGTCGGGAACGAAGGTCTCCATGACCAGCAACTTCCAATTTAATAAATGAAATTAGAAAAAAGTCTGTGAAGTTTGCAACTCACTTTCAAACGTTCAGGACAAACTCCGCAAGCAGGTAGATAAAGCAAAGAGGGCAAAATGTTAACAGTGACCATGGATTTCCTTGTGTTCGTTCTCCTTCCAACTTTCTGGTATCTTTGAAATTTTTCATAATAAAAATTTGGGTTTTAAAAAGAATGAAAGGCTTACTGCAGAAAAGGAAAAAGTTTTAAAATAGCCACAAATGAAAACATTATTTTTTTCTTTATGTAATAATTTTTTTCTCCCCTTTATTCCCTTCCATCCTGCACCCCGTCCCCCCCAGCATCCCCCTCCCCCTTAGTTCATGTCCATGGGTTGCACGTATAAGTTCTTTGGCTTCTCCACTTCTGATACTATTCTTAACCTCCTCCTGTCTATTTTGTACCTACTATTTATGTTTCTTAACCCCTGTACCCTCCCCCCATCCCTCTCCCCCATATCCATTTCTGTGATTCTGTTGCTGTTGTTTGCCTAGTTTTGTTTTGTATTTTTGAGGCTTAGTTATTGATAGTTGTGTTTGTTATCATTCTACTGTTCATAGTTTTTGATCTTCTTTCTTTTTCTTAGATAAGTCCCTTTAACATTTCATTTAATAAGGGCTTGGGGATGTTGAACTCCTTTAACTTGACCTTACCTAGGAAGCACTTTATCTGCCCTTCCATTCTAAAGGATGGCTTTGCTGGGTAGAGTAATCCAGGTTGTAGGTCCTTGCCGTTCATGGCTCTGAACACTTCTTTCCAGCTCTTTCTTGCCTGCAAGGTTTCTTTTGAGAAATCAGCTGATAGTCTACGGGAACTCTTGTAGGTAACTGTCTCCTTTTCTCTTGCTGCTTTTAAGATTCTCTCCTTATCTTTAATCTTGGGTAATGTAATTATGATGTGCCTTGGTGTGTGCTTCCTCGGGTCCAACTTCTTTGGGGCTCTCTGAGTTTCCTGGACCTCTTGGAAGGCTAGTTCCTTCTCCAGATTGGGGACGTTCTCCATTTTTTTTTTTTTTCAAGTAAGTTCTCAGTTTCTTGCTCTTCCTCTTCTTCTGGAACCCTGATGATTCAGATGTTGGAACATTTAAAGTTGTCCCAGAGGTTCCAAAGCTTCTCCAAAGTTTTTCCAAAAATGAAAAAAAAAGTTCATTTTTTTGAACTCTTGTTTCTTCATTCTGTTCTGGTTGAGTGTTCATCTCTTCCTTCTGCTCCAAATCATTCATTTGAGTCCCAGTTTCCTTACTTTCACTGTTGGTTCACTGTATATTTTTCTTTATTTCACTTTGCATAGCCTTCTCTTTTTCCTCCATTTTGTGACTATACTCAACCAGTTGTGCAAACATCCTGATTACCAGTGTTTTGAACTCTGCATCTGATAGGTTGGCTATGTCTTCATCGCTTAGTTCTATTTTTGAAGCTTTGACCTATTCTTTCATTTGGGCCATATTTCTTCATCTCAGAGCACCTGTTCCATTGGGAGGGGCAGAGCCTTCAGGATTTGCCAGGGCAGGACAACCCAGGTCACTGTGTTGTGACACTGTGTGTGGGGGAGGGGTCTGAGAGGGAACAAGGCTGCTTGCTCTCGGTTGGCTTTCAGTTATTCCCCCTGCTGCCCACAAGCAAAGTGGGCCCTTCTAGCGCTAATTCCCAGGTGGGCGGGTTTGTGTACGTTCTAGGACCCCGAGGGTCTCTCCAACAAATTCTCCTGTGAGGCTGGGAGTTTCTCCTGCCACCGCAACCCCCACAGATTTTTACCTCCAGAGGTTTCGAGGCTTTCCTTTCGCTGCACTGGAACCCTGGGTTGCATGGTCTGTCACACTCAGCACGGCCTTTCTGCCCCGCTGCCTGTCTCCGCGCCCCCGCCAGTCTGGATGAGTGTTTCTTCTTTAACTCCTTGGTTGTCAGACTTCCACACAGTTTGGTTTTCTGGCATTTCTGGTTACTTTTTGTTTTTAAATTTTTTGTTGTCCTTTTGGTTGTACAAGGAGGCAAAGTGTATCTACCTATGCCTAAAACTCTGTTTTTGGGGCTGTTCCTTGTAGAGCTTGGTTCCAACCACCTCTGTCTCAGCTCCAGAGCCCTCTATGGCTCCCAGCTACGCTGAGGATCACATCCACGCTCGTTCAGGTGGCATTTGGGGCACTGCGCCACATGGTGCTGGCAGACTTCTCACACCTGGAATTACTTACAATTCCCTAAATTGGTTGTCCTTCTATCCTTTGTGCTGCGCTGTGGTCTCTGCCTAGAAACCCACCCCGTCCTCATGTTCCCCCCTCCCATCCCCCATCCTTAGAGGTCCCTCTTTAAAGTAATTCCTGCAATGAGTACCCCCGACCCCCAAATTTCAGCAAGTTCTCCCCATTATATCTCTACATGGCACCCTTCCTTTGTCCTCCAGAACAGTACCACAGTTTGCTATTATATATTTGAGTCTTTGTTTCACATCTGCTCCCCGACTAGGTTGTAAGCTCCCTGGGGGCTGGATGGACACAGGCATGTGCACCCCACGATGTTCCCCTCAATTCTCAGTATATGGACTAGCCTACTGGCTGCTCAACTCCAGATGGACCAGATGTATCAATAAACTAATACTTCACTCTCAACAGAAAGACTCCCTCCTCCAGAAAGCCCTCCCTGACCTCCCCTCCCACCTCACCTCCTCAGATCATCCTCGAAGGGCAGGAAGAGCCACTTCTTGGGCATATCCTTGAGAAATAGGTCCTGCTGCTCCTCTGTGGTGTCCTGAGACACATACACCAGGGCCAGCTGGGCCGCCCGCAGCACATAGAACTCATCCGTGAGCTGAACGAAGAAGTCCCTGAGGATGGGTGCGAAGGCCTGGCACTGGGGGCATGACCCTGCGCCGAAGAACAGCAGCACCAGCCGGTTGTCCAGCCTGCGACTGAGCTCTCCCTCCGTATCCAGCTCATCCTGGTCACTGTTGTTTCAGATCAGAACTCGACCAGAGAATAGGGAGGCCATGGCAGCCCTGGCTGGGGGCTGCGGAGAAGGTGGAGGGACCTTGTGGCCTCGGGCCGCTGACAGGCTGCTGTTCCAGGATTAGGGACCTTCAGGAGGCCGGTTTAGGACCTCGCTAATCTGCCTGAACCACAGCCTGACTCTGACCTGATTCTGCAGCACCTCCCCGGCAGCGGGCAGCTTCCCATGCGGCCCTTCTCAAGGGACAGCTGCAAGTGTATTTAAAAAAACTGCACGGGATTGCAAAGGAAACCCATCAGACCAACACGGGTGCACAAAAGTTCTATTACGTGATGTAAAAATACACGCTTCTTCATGAACACATTGAGTAATCCTGATTCGCGAGGGCGCCGCTAATACCACAGTCTCCGAGTTGAGATGAGCGTAGAGGTATTTTGAGGTGGCTGCCATGACCGGGATGTGATATGAATTACCTTTGATTTTCATGGGTGAAAGAGTCACAGGACTGGCCTGTGCCTGCTTTGAAGCACATGAGAGGACATGCTAAATTCCAGTGAGAAGTTAATGAAAATAAAGATGAATTCCTTACCCCTGAATTGCGTCTGGACAGTCCACCTTAAGACCCCCTGGTGTGCAAGGTTGAAAATCACGGCTTTTGCAGCCCCTCCCATCAAGAGATGGAAACTAGCTTCCTTCTCCTTGACTTGCTTTTTTTCCCCCCCAGTAATTTGATCAACACCACAGTTTATTTGTAAACATACCATGAATCAATAATCAAAGTGACAACACTTGATACATTTCATTGTATAAAATTAACATCATACCAGAAAACAACCCACTGTACTTAGTTACAGTTTCGATACTTTAAAATCTTTAAATACAAACTGTATTTGAAACACAACATAAGAGAGAAAAAAAATATGGGACACTTCATGAATTTGCGTGTCATGCCTGCTCAGGGGCCATGCTAATCTCTGTATCATTCCAAGTTCAGTGTACGTGCTGTCGAAGCGAGCGCTCCTTGACCAACAGATTGAGGCAGAATGCAGGGTAAGCCTCACCTCGCCTCCCACGGTGGCGCTTCCGGAGCGCTGCTTCCGCCAGATGCCCCAAGTGTTAGATAGGATGAGGGTCTCAAGGTCTGGGAGTTCTAAATGTTACTATTAAATGTTACTCTTTTTTTAAAAAAATTATTTTTGACAAGATGATTTTGAGAGAGAGGGAAAGAGAGGGAGACAGAGAGAGAGAAAAACATCCCTGTGTGAGAGTAGCACAGTATTTTGTAGATGCTGGAAACAGGATGAACTTGACAGGAACCCAACCAGATAAATGTAGCCAACTGCAAAGGGAAGAAGATCAATGTATAATTAACCAAATAATGTATATAAACAATGGCCAAGATGCCTTGGAAGAAACAGTTTGGATTTGAATCACCTGTTTCCTTGCTGCAAGTAAATAAAACTTGGTACCTTGCAACAACCATGTCTCATTCTTGAATAGAGCACCCCCCAGCCTTGAACCCCTTGAATTCAGTAACACAAGGAAGCCAATGTAGCCCAGAGACTGACAAGCCTTTTTTGTAAAGGACCAGGTAGTAAATATTTTTGGATTTGTAGGGCATACGGTCTCTGTTGCAACTTTAAATTCTCCACTGTCATGCAAAGGGGCTCTAGACAATATGTAAATGAATTTATGTGTCTGAGTTCCAATTAAACACTTCATGGTTGCTGAAGTTAGAACTTTGTAGAATTTTCATGTGTCATGAAACATCAGTGTTTTGACTTTTTTCTACCATTAAGAAATGTAAAACCCATCCTTAGCTGATGATGAGCTGGATTTGGCCTGTGAGCTGTGCTTTGCCAGACTCCTTTTCTAGCCCATTGGAGGAGAGGCCACAGGGGGAACTAGATGCCCAGCCGACTGCCAGCACCACCGGCCGCACGTGTCATCCCGTGGCCCAGCCACCTGAAGCATGTTGCAGAGTAACTGAGTCCAGTGAGACCAGCAGAGGGACCAAGCGCCCAGGCAGCCATTGGGATCCTGAGAAATAGCTGATGGCTGTCGTATTGAGGCAGGTTAGTGAGAAGCTAGAAAAATACCTTGGCAAGTGGAATGAAGGAAACAGAGAGTTAAGTAAGGCTGAGCAATTAACAACCAGCTAACAAATCTCAAGATCTTATCTTTCTGAACCAAGGACACTTAGGAGCAAATTTGTATATATCTCTTCTTCCCAATCAGAGAGTGAGTAGCTTCATCCTAGTCAGGGAGATAGATAACAGACCCATTTGGAGCTGTTATTGTCAGCCAGACCCCAGGGCAGATGAAGTTGGGTGTTCTGCAAGTGCTCCAGCTAGGCAGGTTCACATGGGATTCGGGCAGGCAGAAGAATAGACTGGAGCCGTTGGGATGTCTGATGTGCCTTTATTCTGGGATGGGGCGATCCACACGTGCCACAAGCCGCGAATCGCACCACAGGAAGTCCTGACTCCCTTATACGCTAAATGCACACAAAGCCGGCAAGCTGCCAATATTGACCTTCTAGTTATGTAACGGATCTTGAGTCTGCACATGCCGGTCCCTATTCAAGGTTATATGAACACTGCTAAGTTATGTTTGCCCAGACATCTGGGTGAGGGACCTTGACTGACTCCATTGTCCCTACATTCCACCGCTTCAGGGTTCCTCACCGAACAACCTACACAAGGCTGTCTTCCGCGAGGGTCCCTTGGTGAAGAGGGCAGAGCCCTACACACACTCACATGCTGCAATAGTAGTACAAGCTGCAACAGCACACAACCAAAACGCAAGCTGCTGCCCAAGACAGCGAGGACCCACTGCCATTGAGTAGTTAAGGATGCCCACCACCATCCCTGCAGGGGATCACCCATCAGGCTTTCGATAGCATGGTTCTCAGAAGCTAATGCCCGGAGAGCTTGTCTAACATTGTGATGGACATCTGGAATGTACACGCAGCACTCGGTCCCAACTAGGGCACATACCCTGGCACATCGCTCACCTACGTGTGCAAAGAGGAGTGGTGCTTCATTGCAAGCACGGACCACACAGGGGAGTTGAAGGGACTGTGGACAGCCCTAATAATTTCCACCTTTTCCAGCTCTCTAATAATTGCCATGATTTCTTCACGTTCCCTGGGCAGCCGGTATAGCTTCACCGCCATCACCTGTTGTGAGGGCCACAACTGAACAGGGGGATGCTCAGCATGCCCCCCGAGTCGCAAGCAGAGCTTCCCCGCAGTGGTTTGCAGCCGCACTCCGTGGAGCTCATTAATGCCCAGGATGTACTCAGGAATGGGGGACACATAAACAGTATATGCATGGGGTGGGGGGTGCGCAATCACCCAATACTCAGGGAGAACCACATGGCCTTTACTCCCACACTGCACCCCCTGTGACTATCAATATGGGCCGCAGGCCCAGGAAACTTGTCAGGGTTTCCATACAGGAGTGTACATTCTGCCCCGTATCTACTAAAGCCAGGACCTGCTGGACATTTGTGGGGGACCAGTGGATAGCCAATTCCACATGCGGCCTCCGGTCCCCATCTGTCCCCTGTAGACAGGTTCCTTGGCCCTCCCCCTATTTAAATTGACAAAAGATATCTGCTTCTTTGCGGGAGGTGGGCACAGCCATACGGTCTTCCAGCCGGACAGGGCTGGCCTTTGGGGTCACGTCCCCGAGTTTTCCCTTCGCCCCCTTCTTTTGGCGCTGCAGGAAGCATAGGTCAGCTCGCAACCGTTTCCACAGTTCATGCGGTCGCTCGTTGCCTGAGAGACAGAGCAGGCCCGGGACACCCCCTGAATTCTTTTCTGCTGCTGCTGACTGTCGCTCCCAGACTTGACACAATCATGGTGACATCATTAATACAGCACTCGACATATGGGGCCAAATTAGCCATGAGGGATCCAAAAGAAGCGGAGGGGGCATGTTGCAGCACCAGATCCCTCATTCCTGCTGTAAAACATTCATCATTGGGACCATAAGTATTAAGATTAATCATAGCCTGCCCTGGCTGGTGTAGCTTAGTGGATTGAGTGCCGGCCTACAAGCCAAAAGGTTGCCGGTTCAGTTCCCAGTCAGGGCACAATGCCTGGGTTGCAGGCCAGGTCCCCATTTAGGGGCATGCAAGAGGCAACTGATCAATGTTTCTCTCACACATTGGTGTTTCTCTCCGTCTCTTTCTCCCTCCCTTCTCTTCTCTCTGAAAATAAAATCTTAAAATCTTAAAAACAAAACACCTATTCTAGAGGATTTTTCATGGCCTAGGAAATTGTGGGAGACTGAAAGAAACTTAGTATTATTGGCTTTAAACAATAAAAAGAAAACCACAAAATCGTCATTGCCAAGAGTTTAATTGACATTGTTAAGGCTTCATGAACAGGTCCCTTCCAGGTGTGTCCACATTTCACATCATTTAGAAATAATTTCCTGGTCAGATCTTCCTCACTTTGCCAGAACCCTGGGAAATCCTGGCCTGTTGTGAATTCAGGAGGTCGCCGAGAGCAAAGGCATCTCAACAGTGGGGAACTCTTCCATGATGTTCATGAGGTGCCAGGCTCGTGACCTCAGAACAGTTCTACACGGCCCACGCGATTTTACCGCATTTTACAGGTGAAGCACAGAAGCTGACCCATGTGGCCAAATTATCCAGCAGATGACGTGTGTTGGGCTGTAGAGCCAACTCCAACTTGACTGAAGCTATCATCTACCCCAGAGTTTCCAAACTGCTGCACCCTTGCCGCCTGGGGCCAGATCGCTCTCTGTGATGTGGGTCGTCCTGCACATTATAGGATGTGAGCAGCACCCTGGCCTCTACCCACTAGATGCTGGCAGTGTACTTCCAGCTTCTCCAGTTGTGACAGTTAAAATGTCTCCAAACGTTGCCAAGTGTCCTCAGGGGCAATCGAGAACCACTGTTCTAACCCTTTATCCAGCTTTAGTGGGTGGAATGGTAACCCCCAAAGAGATATGATCAAGTCCTAACCTGCAGGACCTGTAACTGTGACCTTATTTGGAGAAAGGATTTTTGAAGATGTAATTAAATTAAGAATCTCAAGATGAGACTGAACCCTGAGGAAAAAAAAGACCCATAATAAGAAGGGCTCCTGGTGGCTAACTGGGCTCAATTAAAAAACAGCAGCAAACGCTAGCAGCCTTTTCTGCAAGTGGCCTCTTGCGCAAACTACACTTTTCAGAGAAGCCTCTGTGCTAAACTGCTTGCCAGCACTGTGTTCATGCCTTCGCAGCTAGCCCTAATAAAAGAGGTCGGGCCTCCCGATCTAACCAATCGGGGGATAGGGGAAATGGGGATAGGGCTCTTCCTTAATTGTTCACGTGGAATCCCTGGGTCCAGTCGTGTGAAAATAAGGAGAAACCTCACTAAAATGGAGAGGAAAGGCCAGAAGGGGGCGCTCTCACACAGTACCGCTCATATCAATTATAGGCAGTATTGTCAATCATAGACCCTCTGCAGCAGTGGTCCCCAACTTTTTTTGCACCAGGGACTGGTTTCATGGAAGACAATTTTTCCATGAACCAGAGGAAGGGGATTGTTTCAGGATGATTCAAGCACATTGCATTTATTGTGCACTTTATTTCTGTCATTATTGCATGTAAGGTATAATGAAATAATTATACAACTCACCACAAGCTCGGGTTAGCATGTGGGCTTACCAAAACTGTTACTGACACAAGTGCACAGTACAGGAAAGAGGCGCGGATGGAAGTGGTAAATATAATAATGGATGGGCCCTGTGAGGACTAAAATAAGTGTCATATTCTGACTTAAAGCCTTCCACCAGATGCAGCTTAATTGTCACTTGCCACTCACTGAAAGGGTTTTGATATGAGTCTGCAAGCAATTGATTTATTACAGTCTCTGTGCAGTCAAACCTCACTGCTAATAATAATCTGTATTTGTGACTACTCCCCAGTACTAGCATCACTGCCCCAGCTCCACCTCAAGTCATCAGGCACTAGATTCTCACAAGTAGCATACAACCATTATCCCTCGTATGTGCATTTCACAGTAGGGTTCATACTCCGGTGAGAATGTAATGCTGCTCCGATTTGACAGGAGGCGGGGCTCAGGCGGTATTGTGAACTATAGGGTGTTGGGAAATGCCCTGCCTGGTTTCAGGAACTGTAGCCCCGCCTACAGGCAAGAGGGCCCCAAGGCTGGACATGATCAAGGAGGCCTTGGGAAAACAGGCCACTAAGGAGATGAAACCTGTACCCCCGCAGGGGTGCAGCCCCTGTCCCCCTCAAATCACCCTGCTTGGCCCTGTGATGGCTGGTAGTCAATGACAGGTAAGATCCCTTGATAGAAGGGACAACCTAAGCCAGACATAGCTGAAATGGGCACCAGGACAAAAACTTGGGGGACACGGAAAAGGGCAAAAAACCCCCGCACCCCTCAGCTCAGCTTGCACATGGCTGGGGTCCTCATTCTATCTGAAAGAAGTCTCCTTGTCTCTTGGCAGCTCCCTCCCCCTGCTGGCTCAGGCTCGAAACAATACTGGAGACAGTCCTAAACCGGATCTGGCGGTTCCCATGGGAAATCAGGCCTAGAAGTAAATTCTTTAAAACATGCTTTGTTTCTCCCTCAAAAACTGTGATAGCCAGATCATGCTGGGAAGGAAATTTACATTATTCACAGACCCTAACCTAAACCCTTTGGCACGCTCATGTTTATTAGCCTCTTCTCAGACCATTTAAATCTGTGGGTTCCTGCCATTTCTTTTCTTCAAAACATCATCTATTCCCTGTGAACATTAACATACTGCTGTAACGAGATCACCTGCACATTCCTATTACTTAGCCCCACTGATAATTTTTTCAATAAAAGACTTTGGAAAAAGGGGCTCGGGGGAGCTTTTCCACTACAGGGAAGTGCCCTTTCCCCTCTCCTGGCAAACAAAGAAGTGTTTGCAGTAACTCATGTTTATTTCCTCCCACCCATGACAACCCTGGGAAGGGCTCTGGGGGAGAGCCCCGCTCCCACCTCCGCTGGCTCCAGACAGTGACCCTCTGACCCAGAGTCCGTGGGTGGCACGCCCCTCAGCAATACAGAGCAGCAGTAAATACAAAGTTTCCCTCGCTTGCTGCCCGCTGCCTTCTGTGCGGCCCAGTTCCTAGCAGACCACAGGCCAGTGGCCCAGGGTGTTGGGAACCCTTACTCTACATGAAAAGATGTACATACGCTGCATCTCTTACTAGAAATTGACTACCCCAGTAACTGAGCCAATGAAAAACTCATCTCCCTGAACTCTTCTTGCTTTTCTCAAATGGGCTTTCTTTCACAACAGCCCTTCCTAACTCCCCCCGGCCTTTTTCTCCACAAAATAACATTCCTCTCCTTTGTTTGTAGGATTTACCTATGGCTTTTGCTTGTACCGAATTGAGATTCTTTGCTGTTTCTGAATAAATCTATTTTTGCTGGTAAAATTGCTGTTTTATTTTTAAGGTCAACATATGTTTTTGGGATTGGGAATTTTTTCTACTTTAGGAGGTAACTGAGGGAGAAAACTGCCATGTGTTGGGTGTTGTCACTCAGGGTGTGGAGTAGACCTTATGTAAAAGGATAAAAAAGGCGTAAACAGAGATAATTAATCACTGTAAACAGCCTGGGTCACTGCAGGGGATGTTTTCATTTTGCTGGGGTTTTGACATCATCTTAAGAAAAAGCTGGGCTTTGTGAGTATTTTGGATTTCAGAATTGCAGACTGAAGACTTATAAGTGTATCTCCAGGAGCTGTGGGTAGAGTTGGGAGAAATTGTGCCCCTACTCAGTTCTGGCTCAGTGAACTTGGTAAGATAAGGGGAAAGGGAAAGAGAAAAAGTGGGGAGAAGAGGAGGAAGAGGAGGGGGAAAGCAGGTGGGAGGGAGAGAGAGGGAAGAGGAGAGGTTGGGGAGGAGGAGGGATAGAAAGGGAAGGAGGAGTCGTCGGAGGAAGGGAGGGAAGTAGGGAAGACGAGGAAAGAGGGAAGTGGAGGAAAGGGGAGAGGGGAAGAACAAACAAGAAGCGGGGGAGGAGAGAGGGAGGAAGTGGGGGAAGAGGGAAATCAGGGCAAGGGGGGGGTGGAAAAAGCAAAGGTGGGGAGGAGGGAGGCAAGCTCTCTACCTCCATTTGTGAATGAATAAATCTCAACTGTGAGCGGGTGTGACAGCTCCAGAGCTCAGTTTTTTACCTGTGAAATAGGGGTAATCACGGAAGTGCCCGGCAGGATAAGAGCGCAGCTGTAGTTGCTTGTCACTGCTGACTCCACTGACACTCGGTCAAGAAGATAGTGGAGCGGTGACTGGCGCTGGGCCTGTTCTAGGGATCTCTCTCTTCGGCTCCCATTCCACCCACCCTGGAAGCAAACGAAAATCTGCATGGGGGGTGGGGTGGGGGAAGGGGTGAGCGCCTGCCAAGCCTTGTCCTCCAAATGGCCCTGGAAGCAGGCCCAGGCAGCCTCCCAAGGATTGCACTGGGGAGGCTGGCTAAGCAGGGAAGAAAACAAGAAGGGGCGGAGTGGGCAGGAGGGCAGGGGCGCGGGGGGGGGCGGGGGGGGGCGGCTTGGAGGGAGGGTTAGAGCAGAGGACCTCATCGCTCAGCGCAGGCAAAGCAGGGCTCAGGAGCCTGCAAAAACAGAGGACCTCCGGGAGGTTCACCAGCAGGGGCTAGGTTTGGGGTTTTCTGTCTTGGACTGGCTGTCCCTGCCTGCCTCCTGCCTGAGCTTCCGGGAGCCCACAAGGGAGCAGCCAAGACTGAGGGTCTGTGAGAAGTTCCAGGTCAGCCAGGGAACAGGTTGGTGAGCAGCCAGGCCGGCACTGGCCACATCTGACCTGGAGGGTGCTTTGGGGCCTCTGGGTGAACATTTAGGACCTTGGGGTGCCAATAAAGGACTCCAGTGGGAGGGCAGGGACCTGGTGTGTGGAATTCGTTTTCCCTGGGCTCCTGGGGTCTTATACTGAGATTTAGTTGACAAGATTTAGGGATATAGATTTGGGATTAGTTGGGTCCTTGTAATATATCTTTTAGACTAAAGTGGAACTTGGATTTAGAAACTTCTGGAGCCCTAGGCTGTAAGTTTAGGACTTCCAAGGTCCCTGGAATGTGCTTTGCACTTCTATTTACGACAAGCTGGGGCAAGAGTCCTGCACAGGAATGCCGCTGGTCCACGAGATAGGAACGCAGGATGAAATCTAGGTCTGGGCCGCCGCCGCCCGGGGACCACGCCCCTCGGCTCCGCGCGCGTGTCTCCTGAACGCAGGACTAGGGGCCGGCTGAGCTTGGTTGTCAGGGAGACAGCGGCTGTTTTTGCTGGGTTGTTCTAGCCCCCGGGTCTTGTTAGCCATCGTTTCTCTGGCCCGGAGGCCCTCTCTATGGTTGTAGCCTCCGGAAAGGGGCGGGCCTCCACTAAGCGGCTAAGAGGTTCTTAGGTAAGAAGGGTGTCTTTGGCAGGGGTGGGGCAGGCAGGTGGGGCTGGATCTAGAGTGCTTGGTTGGGCCAAAGCCTGGGGGCAGGACCGGTGGCCAGGGATGGAACTTGGGGCTGGAATGCTGGCCAGAACCTGGACTAGAGGCCGGGTATGTTTCAGAGTGGGCTGGAGCTTGTGCTTATGGGCGGGGCCCAATGAGTGGCTGATGATAGAGGCGGGACCTGCGGGAAAACCCGGGGCTTGTGGCTGGACGGGCTTGAGGACAGGAAGTGGGAGTGGGTCCTGGATCCGAGCCCTGCGGCTAGATAATAGAGTGGGGCGGGGCCTGGTTGAGTGACTGGGGAGGACCTGGGTCTGTGGTGTGGACAAGGTGTAGCCCAGTCTTGGGGACTAAATCGTGAGAGTGCAGGTTGGATCTGGAGTTCCACAGCTAGGTCAAGGCACTGGGCGGGGCTTGGCAGTGACTGCCAGTGTGGAAGGCCTGAGTTTAGGGAAATGTCCTGTGCTCTCTACTAATAATTGGCAGAGAAGTGTGAGAAGTACTAGGAAACAGCCCTGGTCCGGGGGCGGAGTTTAGCTGAGACTTTGTTTGGAGCAGGCGGGCCTGAGCAGGGGGCGGGGCCCGGCTCGCCCTTGGGGGCGTTACCGGAGCCTGGGGGCGGGGTCTTTCTGGCCTTGGGGCGGGGCCCGAGCGGCCAGCAGCCTCAGCCCTCTCCGCCTCCCCAGGATGCGGGCTCCTGGTGCGGGCTTGGCCTCCGTGGCTTCGCTGGTGCTGCTGGTGCTGCTCGGGCTGCCGTGGACCTGGAGCACAGCGGCGGCGCTCTGTGTATACGTGAGCGGTGGCGGCTGGCGTTTCCTGCGCATTGTCTGCAAGACCGCGAGGCGGGACGTGTTGTGAGTGCAACCCCGGCCTGATTCCCGGCCGTGCTCCCTGGGGCAGCAGAAACGGTTTGGGGAGGCCCCTGAAGGCCTGGGGGGCGGGGGGAAGGATTGAGATGCTGGGAGCGGGGCCAGGGCCTGAAAGAGTGAGGGATTGAGGACTTGCAGAGGTCAGCTTGAGACTATCTGGAGGGACATGAGTAGGTTTCAAGGTTATTGAGGCCATGTGGGAGACCTCAGAGGGCTTGAAGGCAACTTGGGCGTCCGTGGGCCGCAGCTAGGAGTTCCAGAGAACTGGGGCTGGTTGTAAGGCTGTGGGTGTTTGGGGCTCTCTGTGGGGTCTTGGTGACTGTGGGAGGCCTCTGAGGGCGCTTCAGGGACTCTGGTAGATTCCTGGGGGTTCACAGGGGTGCCTTGGAAGCTTTAGGGAAAGAATGAAAGGGCTTCTTGAGGCATCTGAAAAAGACCTCTAAGGTCTTTGAATGATGTGTATCTCCTCTGGGCCATTTACAGGTTTCTCTGTGGCCAGGTGTTCTTTGAGAGTTTGGGGTCCGTGTGAGACTTTGGGGGTTGTACAGAGTCTGTGGAGATGTTGCTGGGTGTTCTGAGGCTTGTTTGGGGGTCTTTGGAGAATGGGATGTCTGGGGAGGGGATTCTAGTATTGAGTGTAGGCATCTTTGGAAGGTCTGCGGGGTGCCTGTGAGGGGCTTGCTCTAAGAAGCTGTTGGGGTCCTCCTGGGGTGAGGTATTGCTGGAGGTTCCCATCAGAGTAGCTCTCAGTTGCAGCCCCCACATGGAGGGGGACTACATGAGCACCTACTGTGGGTTGCCAGACTTGATGCCTTCACAGGAACCCTTTAATCTCCTGGATGTGGGGAGCCCAGATGCAGCCTGAGGCTCTTACCTCCACTCAGGGTTGCACACAACAGGAACATGGCTGGCAGGTCCTCCCTATGTCCTTGGGCTTTTCAAGGCCCTAGCTGTACCCCATGGAGCTGGGGCTATCAGTGCCTAGTCCTGTCTTCCCTGGGGACAAGGCAGGAGAGGGGGTCCACTCTGAGTCCCTGACACAGGGCTTGTCACACTTTTCTGTAGGAGGCATCCTTGCAGGTGGCCCCACCTCTTGGTATCTCTTTCTTTTTTTCTTTTTAGATTTTATCTATTTATCTTTAGAGAGGGGAAGGGAGGCAGAGAGAGGGAGAGAAACATCAATATGTGGTTGCATTTCTCGCACGCCCTGCTGGGGACCCAGCCTGCGACCCAGGCCTGTGCCCTACACTGGGAATCGAGCCGGTGACCCTTTGGTTTGCAGGCCGGCTGTCAATCCACTGAGCCACACCAGCTACACTAGCTAGGGCTGTTTTTTTTTTTTTTTTTTTTTTAAATGATTTTGAGAGAGAGGGAAAGGGAGAGAAACCTCAGTTTGTTGTTCCACTTATCTGTACAGTCCTTTGTTGATTCCTGAATGTGCCCTGACTGAGGATCAAACCCACAACCCTGGTGCATTAGGACGATGCTCCAACCAACTGAGCTGCCTGGCTAGGGCCTACCTCTTATTCTTCATGCTCTTATCCGACTCCCTCCCTTTGAGTGTGGGCTGGACCTAGTGACTCACTTCTGATGAATGGAACCCAGCAGAAGTGATGGGATGTTTTTCTGAGATTAGGAACAAAAAGGACTGTGGCTTCAGTCTTGGGTGCCCTCTCTTGGGTAACTCCCTCTGGGAGAAGCTGGCTGTCACATGTGAGGCAGCCCTTTGGCTGCCCACACAAATGAACTTGGAAGTGAATTCTCTCCCAGTAAAGCCTTGAGATGAGCACAGTCCCAGCTGACATCTTGGATAGTAGCCTTGCGAGAGACCCCAATCCAGAATCACCCTGCTCAACCACTCCCAGATTCTTCATGCACAGGAACTGTGAGATAATAAATGCTTGTTGTTTCCAGTGGTAATTTTGGGGGGTAATTTGTTACACAGCAGGAACTAATGCAGCTTGTGTAGCCCTCTCTATATAGCAAGCCTTGTTATAATGCTTTCTTAGCCATGTAAAGAAGGAATGTTTATGAAGTCCTTTTTTCTGGTTGGTGAACCAAGGCACAGAGAGGTGAGTACATTTGCCCAGGGAGATAGAGGAAGGAAGGGGCAGAGCTTCAGAGTCCATGTTCTTAGCTGCTATGCTCTGCTGGGATGGTGGTGGGAGCTGCATTTAGACCCTGGGTTCAGAAAATCTTAAAACACCCTGTCCCAGTTCTCTCAACTCATTCTGTAATTGTGGCATGAAATCTGACCACATTTAACCTTGTTCGTTTCTTCCTGCCCCGGGTAAAAACAGGAGGGAGCACAGGGAGCAGAGGGATGAGAAGAGGCCTTGGGAAGGACCCAGCAGCGGAGAGTGGCCTCTTTGTCCCCAGGGCGGGGATGACTTGGGCTGCTGCCTAGGCATGCACTGGAGCCGAGCCCTGGCGTCCAATGCCTGCCTGTGTGGGTGTGCTTCAGCGGGCCAGGAGGCTAGGGCAGGACAGGCTGGCAGCAGGCCGAGGGGGCTGGGACCCCCGCCGTCAGTGCTCAGGTGACCCGCGTGTGACTAGCAGCAGCCTCAGTTCCTATTTCTTGCTGTGTCATCTGAGGGTGGGTAGCCTCCGTGCTGGGGCTGCTTCCTGCATTTCCCAACAGCACCGATGGCCCTCTCCAGGGCTGTTACACCAGGACCCCCTCATAGAGCCTTCAGGTGCTCTAGCAGGGACTCTTTAAGAGGAGAGCTGAGCACACAGTAGGTGCTCAGATGTGTTACTGCTGATTGCTGTCAGCCTATGGTGGGTACCTTGGTGGCTATGTAAGCTGGTGGTCAGTAGCTTAGTGGCCAGAGCCAGCATATCTGGTTAGACCTTGGCTCTGCCCCCTGCTGGCCCGTGGCTCGGTTCCTTCTGAGTCCCAGTTCCTTCATCTGTAAGAATAGTCTTTGTACAATGCCTCTCCTTCGAGAAGCATAAATTGAGTACCTGTTGTGTGCACCATGGGCATTTGGCTTGTCTTCGTGGCCCTCCTGAGGAGGAGCATAGGGACCCTGCCAGGGGGCCTGGTTCTTGGTTATTCTGTCCCTGACTCTCTGTGACCTTGGGGTCTCAGCCCATTCATTATCTGACAAATGGTGATTATAGAACCCTTCTTTGGAAGATGGCTGTAAAGTTAGCATGGTGTCCAGTATATAGTAGGTGCTCAATAAATGAAGAGGTTGCTCATCTTAGCTACTCTATTTATTACATTTTTATTCATTGGGGTCTTTTTGTTTGTTTGTTTGAAAGAGAGAGACAGACAAACAGATATCAACTTGTTGTTCCACTTATTTATGGATTCATTGGTTATTTCTTGTGTGTGCTCTGACCAGGGGTCAAACCCACAGCCTTGGCACATCGGAACTATGCTCTAACCAGCTGAGCTACTCGGCCAGGGCTCTATTTTTTTTAGTTGAATGGATGAGCCATAGGGATCTGACCAGGGAGGTGGATGTATAGACAGCTAATTTTTAATATTTTACATTCTTACTTATTTTTTGTAATAGCTAATATATAACACATGATATAACATTCGAATGTTCTAGAGAGGTGTGCAGTGAAAGCTGCCCTCTCTTTGCTGACCCCGGTCCTGCAGTTCCCCTCCTCAGCATCTCTTTTCCAAGCTATGGTTGCAGAAATCAGTGCAGACCTTGTCTTTCTCTGTGTGTCCACAAATGTGCACATTCTCTATTCTTTTCCTTACATGGTCCCCTTTTTCTTCTTCCTGCTTTCACTTGTAATTTTTTAGAAGATTTTATGTATTTATTTATTTTTAGAGAGAGGGGAAGGGAGGGAGAAAGAGAGGAAGAGAAACACCAATGTGTGAGAGATACATCCATTAGTTGCCTCTTGCATGTCCCTGCTCCCAACTGGGGACCTGACCTGCAACGCAGGCATGTAACCTGACCAGGAATCAAACTGGCAACTTTTTGGTTCATAGGCCAGTGCTCAATCCACTGAACCACACCCACCAGGGCTCACTTGTAATTTTTTACTTTTATTTAAGGCAAACCAGCTTCAGGATGAAAGACCTCGAGTGGCAGCTGCCCGCCCGCCCTACTGTCTGTCTGTATTTTCCCTTCTTTGCTTGGAATAACTTTTACCTCTTGTGTGAATCTGACCAAGTCTGGTAGCATTTGGAAGAATCGATGCTGTGATGGGGGAGCAGAGGGCACAGTGCAAGGACTGACCCCGGGAAGGCTTCCTGGGGGAGGTGGCGAGAATGTTGGGAGGAGTCTAGTCAATGGGCAGGGCATATGGCGCTATGCATATCTCAGTGTGCTGGTAGCATGTGTGTGGATGCTGGGGTTCAGCCAGGTCACAAGGACCACAGAACCCTGGTCCCTTCCCAGGTGCAGCTGGAGGGGCCCCTAAGGGCCCCCAGGGTAGGCAGTGTGACCCAAACAGGAATTCTCATAAATATCATCAGAACCTTGAACGCTTGTTTTTAAAAACTGCAGATGCAGCGGGCCTGTATGTCTCCTGTACCCGATCTGCGTGCCCACCAAGAACCTCGCCCCCCTCCATCTCCCTCTTGCCTGATTCATGCCACACTGGCCTCTGCCCTCGTTCTCAAACGTGCCTCATTCCCTGGGTCCATTCCTACCCCAGGGCCTTTGTGCTGGCTGTGCTCCCAGCTTTACCCGTGGCCTCTCCTTTTCACCTTGCCTGGCCCTGCTCAGAAGTCACTTACCTGCCTCTCTCTGAGGCCACCCCTGACCCCGGCCCCAGGGCACATCTCTTGCTGCGTCACCCATCGTGGCCTTGTCACCGGCTCACACGTCTGTTATGCTCCTCCATGGATGAGGAGGGGGTCTTACTCCTGGAAGTACTGTGAGCCCCTGAGGGTCGGGCCTGGTTGTGTCTGAGCTGAAAACAGTGCCCCGCACATAATAGGAGCTGGTACACATCAACTGCCTGGTAAATGAAGGAGGGAGGGAATGAACAAAGGAACGAGTGAATGTCAGAGCTGAGGTCTGCTGTGCACATGTTGAGGCCAGGGATGTAAGGAAGCCATTGCAAGGAATCAAGAAGGCATGGGGGAGTGAGTGGGGGTGCAAAGAATTGATTTGATAAAGAGTTTGAGCCCTAGCTGGTGTGGTTCAGCGGGCTGAGCACCAGACGGTGAACCAAAGGGTCGCCTGATCGATTCCCAGTCAGGGTGCATGACTGGGTTGCCGGCCAGGTCCCCAGTAGGGGATGTATGAGAGGCAACCACACATTGATGTTTCTCTCCCCTTCTCTCTCTCTAAAAATAAATAAATAAAACCTTTAATAATAAAAAGAAGGAATTTAACACTAAAGCAGGTGGGACATGATGGCCAGACAAGGCCTAAGGTGGGGTATAGTTGAGACTATGTCTTTATTGTTCGGGGCACAGCAAGCTGCTGTAACAAACAGGCCTCCATTATCAGTGGCTTAACCCAGTTCAAGGTTACCTCTCAGAGCCAGAGGCCCAGGATGGAGGGGCGGGGAGGCACATGAAACCAGGGGGACCATTTGTTTCTTGAGCTGCTGCATCAAGAAATTCTGGGTTTCTTGGTTCTGTGATCTAAAACAATTTTTGTTTACTTAAAAAGAGTTCATTTCTCCCTCATCTGACAGCCGGACATCCTTGTCTGCTCACCCCCGCACTGTCATTCAGGGACGTGGCTACTTCCATTTGGGTCCTGTTCTTCCTTCATATCCCCTAGCAGGTTGGGAAAAGGGAATGAAACACACCCACTTCAAATGCTCATTGAGTTGCATCCCCTGTATTTTGCCAGCAGGCCCCTTGGCCCCATCTGGGGCAGAGGCTGCCCCTCCCTTGGCCATCTGTGCCTAGTGCCATCGAGTGACTTGGGGGTGGTGCCCCTGTCCAGCTCATGGCTGGACCCCGGGGCCTGGTTGGGCAGGTGGAGCCTGAGGAGTTCAAGCTGGAGGTGCTGGGGAGTCAGCGTAGAGTGCTTGGGATGCCCCAGGGGAGAGAAACAGGCAGGACTAGGCGTCAGCTCCCTCAGGGTCACCAAGCAAACCGAGTGGAGGAAGACAGAGTGATTTTGATTTGCATCACATGGCCGGGCCACCTCTGAGCATTTGCTTCTTTCTTGGTACATGGACCTTAGTCCCTGAAGAGACCCACCAACCAAAGGGTCCTCCATGAACCCTTGCCCATCTTGGGAGTACAGGGACCTTTCCATCCGCCTTCTCCAGATGGGGACACCGAAGCTTGGGGGGCATTCTCTTGGGGGCCTGGCCAGGTACCCAGTCACACCATCCCCCCTGTGTCCCCTCCCGCCTCGGCCCCCAGCGGCCTCTCCGTGCTGATCCGAGTGCGCCTGGAGCTGTGGCGGCACCAGCGCGCCTGCCGCACCATCCCAGGGATCTTCCAGGCAGTGGCGCAGCAGCAGCCCGAGCGGCTGGCCCTGGTGGACGCTGGCAGCGGTGTGTGCTGGACCTTCGCACAGCTAGACGCCTACTCCAATGCCGTGGCCAACGTCTTCCACCAGCTGGGCTTCGTGCCCGGTGACGTGGTGGCCATCTTCCTGGAGGGCCGGCCGGAGTTTGTGGGGCTGTGGCTGGGCCTGGCCAAGGCGGGCGTGGAGGCCGCTCTGCTCAATGTCAACCTGCGACGTGAGCCCCTTGCCTTCTGCCTGGGCACCTCGGGCGCCAAGGCCCTCATCTTTGGAGGGGAGCTGGCAGCAGGTGAGGCTGGGTGTGGGCAGGGCATTGTCACGGGCAGGGGCCTGGGCCGCCCAGGGCAGGGAGACAGGGAATTCCAGACCTTGGGAGGGACCTGCCCATCCTTGAACATGACACGTCTGTTTCGGGCTGCAGTGGTGGCTGAGGTGAGCGGACAGCTTGGGAAGAGTCTGCTCAAGTTCTGCTCTGGAGACTTGGGTCCTGAGGGCACCTGGCCAGACACCCAGCTCCTGGACCCACTGCTGAAGGAGGCGTCCACCGCCCCCCTGGCCCAGTCCCCCGGCAAGGGCATGGATGGTGAGTCCAGGGTGGGGCCCCTCCCCCGCCAATGCCCGCCCAGTGCCCTCCTCCCCTCCGACCAGCACCTGGCCCCCAACGCCCTCATGTCCTGCAGATCGACTCTTCTACATCTACACGTCGGGGACCACGGGGCTACCCAAGGCTGCCATTGTCGTGCACAGCAGGTGAGGGGCCCATGGCATTGCCCCCAGCCCGGGGGGTGACTCCAGGCCATCCTTGCAGCCTGAGGCCCCCCAGCCCCAACTCCCTTTGGGGGTCTGTGGGGCATCCTGATCCCAACCCCATAAAACCCATGGCCCATCATGGGTCGTAGTTTTGCCCTATTTCTGGTGCTTTGGGGCTCCTTGTTGCCTCTTCTCTTCCCCACAATCAGCCCATCAGCAGGGCCTGCCCCTCAGTTTTCCCCCTTTGTCCACATACCCACACTCCACCTGGACTTGCCCCAGCCTGTCTTTGGCCTGCTGCTCCCACCCCTGCCCCGAAGGCTCTGCTCCACTCAGCGGCCACAGGAGGGTTTAAACCCTAATTCAGACTGCCCGGGGCCAGCACTCCCTGGACCCGCCGTGGCCTTCAGAGTCAAACTCCCATTCATGTTGTGTGGCCCTGGCACTTCTGTGATGTTGTTTTCTCCCTTTCTGCTTCTTGCTCACTGTTGTCTTGGTCCCTCACATTTCCTCAGACTGAACAGGCTCCCTCTGGCCTCGGGGACTTTGCACGTGCTCTGCCCACTGCCCGGGCACGCCTCCCTCGCTGGCCCCTCTGCTCCTTGCCGCGCCTCAGCTAGTGTGTCACTTCCCCAGACAGGATCCTCCACCCTCCCTGGCTGTGTCACCTTCAGCCTCTCTCTGTCCCTTCATCCTGTTATTTTCCTTAGGGCACCTAGCACCATGGACAGGTTTTATTTTGTTTTCCCTGCATGTACCTCTCCTGCCAGCCTGTAAGCCCCCGGGGACTGTGTTGGCTCTGCCTGGGTCGCTGCGGTGTCTGCGGTTTCCAGCGCACTCCCCCGTTCCCACACCCCGGGCACTGTAGGTCCCAGCCCCCGCACTCCCTGCCCCTGTAGGTACTACCGCATCGCAGCCTTCGGCCACCATGCCTACAGCATGTGCGGGGCAGATGTGCTCTACGACTGTCTGCCCCTGTATCACTCCGCAGGTACTGAGGGGCGGCTTGGGCAGGGAGAGGACAGGGAAGGGGCGAGGGACTAGGGACCCCTCACCAAGCTCGCCCTCTGCAGGGAACATCATGGGCGTGGGGCAGTGTCTCATCTATGGGATGACGGTTGTCCTCCGCAAGAAGTTCTCAGCCAGCCGCTTCTGGGATGATTGCGTCAAGTACAACTGCACGGTCAGGCCCCGGGCCCTCCCATGGGTCCTTCTTTCAGGAATGGCCCACTCTTCCCGCCACCTCCAGGGCTCCAGGGGACAGAAGGGTGGCTAGTGTTTCTTGAGCTTGTGGCTCTACATCCGGCCCAGGGCTACACCTTCCATGTGTAACCTCATTGGACCCTTGTAACCGCTCGGGAGTGGGCAAAGGCATCACACCCATTTTTCAGATGGGGAAACTAAGGCTTACAATGCAACTGCCATTGGGTCTGGGTTGCTTGAGCTGCCTAAGGCTCCACCTCCCTGTGCCCTGGGACTCCCCCCACCCCGGTCTTCCCTGCAGGTGGCTGCATGAAAATGAGACTAGAGGGCACAGTCACCACCGTGGGCTGGTGAGGCCACCAGGTGTGGAGGCTTCGGGGCGGGGGGGCGAGCATGAGGCAGAGGTGGAGGGCATCCGCTGTTCCGGACAGCAGGCGGGGCCAAGACTCTCCTCTCCTTTCCCCACCTCGCAGGGGACTTCAGCACTGTGATGGGGGTGGAAATGCAAGTGCTGGCTCTTTCTCCAAGAAGGAGAAGGGGGAGGTGCGGAGAGAATGGAACTGGCAAATTGGCAGCTGCCGCCCCACCATGGACAGGTGGAGCCTGGAAAGGTGCAGCCACCTGCCCAGGCCCTGGAAAACCCCCTGGGGCACTGAGTGTGTTCCTCTCTGCTCTCGAGGATTTACTTTCTGCCTGGGGGGAGACTCGGGGGGAATTGCTGATCTCAATCTTGAAATGCAGACAGTTTGGATTTTTAACTTAATTATCAAGAGTTGCAAATGACTATGAACGTGGACAGGAAAGTACAGGGAATCCCCGAGCATCTTTCCCTGGCTCTAGAGGCCGTCAGCTGCCCCCCCCCCCCCACCCCAGTCCCTCCTTCTGCACGGTTGGGAAGCCACCTGGACAGCAGCGCGCTCCCTGCATAGATGTTTCGGTAAAACCTCTGGAAGACGACTTTTTAAAAAACTGAGGTGAAATTCCTAACATAACATTAGCCATTTTAAAGTGAACATATTCAGCGGCATTAAGTACATCCACAATGTTGTGCAACCACCACTTCTATCTTGTTTCAGATGATTTCCATCACCCTAAAGGGAAAACGGGCCCCATTAGCAGTCAGTCCCCATCCCCCCCAACCCCTGGCAACCACTAATCTGCTTTACGTTTCTGTGGATTTGCCTGTTCTGGAAATTTTCTGTAAATGGCATCATATACTGTATGGATGTTTGTGGCTGGCGAGGTCTGTTTTTAAAACAGATTTAAAAGCAGAGTCTCAAAGAGATATCTGTATACCCATGTTCAGCGCAGCATTTTGCACAATAGTTAAAACATGGAAGCAATCCAAGTGTCCGTCAATGCATGAATGGAGAAGCAGATGTGGTCCATCCACACAATAGAATATTATTCAGCCATAAAAAGGAAGGAAATTCTGACACATGCTACAGCGTAGATGAATCTTGAGGACATTACACTAAGTGAATAAGCCAGACACAAAGGAACAAACACTGTGTGATCCCACTTATGTGAAATCCATAGAGTAGTCAGATTCATAGAGACAGAAAGTTGAAGGGTGGGTACCAGGGGTGGGAGAGGGGGGAGTTAGTGTTCAATGGGGCCAAAGTGTCAGTTTGGGAAGATGAGAAACTTCTGGAGATGGATGGTGGGGTAGTTGTTCCCCAATGTGAATGCACTTAATGCCAATGAAAGGTACACTTAAAAATGGTTAAAATGTGCCTTTGGCTCTTTGCATCCCCTGGGGTGTGTACAATGGGAGTAGAAAATCACCCTGACACAGGTGTGTCGTAGCCGGGAGTCCCAGGTTGATCATCAGGTCCCAGCTGCTGTCCAGGTACCCCCAGGCAGGGGGCGGCAATGGGCAGGTGACTGGGCAGGCAGCCGGGTGGGCCTGAGTCGGCCGAGATCCAGAGACGCAGTGTAGAGCGCGGGCCTGACAGTGGTCCCGCCCGCCGGGTGGTGCTGTGGGCAGCCTGGGCTCAGCTGGCCAGGCTCGGGGGGACAGAGTGGGGCACATGGGCTCTGGGCTGAGGTTGCCCTGTGGGCGTCATTACTGAGGCTGGCCTTCCTGGCCTGTGTACAGCACACTAGGCGTCCCCCGAAAGTGACATGGGGGTAGACAGACGGCAGAGGAATGTTGGTGGGGGACGGCCAGATGCATCCACTGGCATAGAAGGCGCGTCCCAGGCCACTTGCAAGGACTGAACTATTTCCTCACAGTCATTAGCATTAGGGCCGTTTGTTCTAGTGCCCAGGGTGGGGGGGCCGCGTCCTGGGGTGTCAGGCTTCCCTCTGGCTCGAGTGGCCGCCCATCGCGCTTCCTCTCTGCCAGGTGGTCCAGTACATCGGAGAGATCTGCCGCTACCTGTTGAAGCAGCCAGTGCGGGAGGCCGAGGGGCAGCACCGTGTGCGCCTGGCGGTGGGCAATGGGCTGCGGCCGTCCATCTGGGAGGAGTTCACCAAGCGCTTCCGCGTGCGCCAGATCGGCGAGTTCTACGGCGCCACGGAGTGCAACTGCAGCATCGCCAACTTAGATGGGAAGGTGGGCGAGGCGGGGCGGCCGGTTTTGGGAATCACTGCGCCTCGGAGGGCAAGGGTGGGTTGCGGGGGAGCACCGCGGGGGAGAGGGTGTTCCTGGGACACCCCATGTCCTCCACATGCAGGTACCCTCTTCTAGCACACAGTCAGAACTGTCACCCCTGAGTTCAAGGTCTTGCAGTGGCTGTGTGCGCCAGGCAGGTGCCTCAGCCGTTATGAGCCTCAGTTTCCATCTTGGGAGGTGGCAGGGAGAGCAGGGCTCAGGGGCACCGAGTTGGGGGTTGGGGCGCTGATCCCCTCCTACAGAACAAACTTCTCAGGCTCCTTGGGCCTCGGATTTTTTGTCTGGTGAAAGGGGTCAACAGCTCCCGGTGCGTGTTCTCCCCCTCCAGCATCGTGAGCTCAGCACAGCGGCCCCCACCGGTAGCTCTCTGCAAACAGGCCTTCATGATTAGCAGTACCCACTTTCTGTCTTTCCCCAACACTTCCTCCCCTTCCCCAACCCCCTCCTCCCCAAGGCCAAGAACAGAGGAGAGTAACAAGAAAGCAAACTGGGGCAGGAATTCTTTTCTTTCTCATTGGCTGCTGGGTTCCTGGGACCTGAGAACAAGGCCTGTGCCCCCCCCCCCCCCCCCCCCCCGCCGTGCACATCTGTTGAGTGGACATCCCCAGAGGCCACTGTGGCCGTAGTAGTGTAGGTTGCTGCTACAACAAACATACCCAACAGCATGTAGCTACACAAATCCATTAGACAGGCCTTTCTGCTCCTGGAACTGATCCAGGCAGGGGGACATGCTGTAGGCCATGGGCAGCAGCTCTTTCAGTGCCCCCACATGGCTCCTGGGTCACTCTGGATGCCCACTTCTGCCAGTGCAGAGGGTTTCATGGGCCAGAAAGTGGCGGCAGGCCAGCGGGTCTCATGTGACTGTAGGGAGACTGAGAAGGTGGGAAGAGGAGTCCTGGGAGGGGATACTCTTTTTAATACCCCCTTTCTCAGATCATCCAAGGTCATCCAAGGTCCAGGCCCTGGGGCAGGAGAGGTAACGTGTCATTGGGGAGGACACTTTGCCACTCCTTGCTGATTTAGTCCCCCTTATCCCAGGTGGGCTCCTGTGGCTTCAACAGCCGCATCCTGCCCAATGTGTACCCCATCCGGCTGGTGAAGGTCAATGAGGACACCATGGAACTCCTGCGGGACGCCCAGGGTCTCTGTATCCCATGCCAGACTGGTGAGCAGGACCCCTACCCAGTCCCCCGAGAGCTGGGGTCCCCGCCCCCTGCCCTCCTAGTTTAACCTGAGCATGGTCTCCTTCCCAGGGGAACCCGGCCTCCTAGTGGGCCAGATCAACCAGCAGGACCCGCTGCGACGCTTCGATGGCTATATCAGCGAGAGCGCCACCAGCAAGAAGATTGCCCACAACGTCTTCTGCAAGGGCGATAGTGCCTACATCTCAGGTGTGCACACCCTGGGGGCTGGCTGTGAGGATGGTGGCTGCCATCTCACCTGCCCCTCCCTCCTCTGCCAGGTGATGTGCTGGTGATGGATGAGCTGGGCTACATGTATTTCCGGGACCGCAGTGGGGACACCTTCCGCTGGCGTGGGGAGAACGTCTCCACCACCGAGGTGGAGGGTGTGCTGAGCCGCCTGCTGGGCCACACAGATGTGGCCGTGTACGGGGTGGCCGTGCCAGGCAAGCTGGGGCTGTGGGGTGGTCCTGGGGTGCAGCAGCACCAGGGGAGCCCAGCCAGGAGGAGCTTGGAAGTACAAGCGCCCTTGAGCAGTGCATGTCCTGACAACTGCACCCAACAGCCTGGTTGGGTGCCACTGGGACTGGAGTCCTCCCTCATGGGTGATCTGGGCTTCAGTTTCCTGATCTAGAAAATGGGACCAGGAAAGCAGCTCTGGCTCGGGGTTGCGGGAATGTGGCAGGCGCTCAATAAAATGTTTTCTGCCTGGTGGGCGGGACTGGAGGTCAGAGGCCAGGGGCTGCCGTTTGAGGGTGTATCTGGTCCCATGCATGGTGGCCGAGGGATGCTGTTCTCAACTGGGCCTCTGTCTCTAGGAGTGGAAGGCAGAGCAGGCATGGCGGCTGTCGCCGACCCCAACGGCCAGCTGAGCCCCGATGCACTGTACCAGGAGCTACAGAAGGTGCTAGCGCCCTATGCCCGGCCCATCTTCCTGCGCCTCCTGCCCAAGGTGGACACCACAGGTTTGCCACCCACCCTCTTCCCCCTTATTTGTCCTGGTTCAGGCCCCCAGATCTGACATAATGGTTCACAGCCAGCTGGCACCATGGGCTTGTGCAGGACACTTCTTGTTTTATTTACATACTTATTTCCATTCCTCACTCCCAACCCCACTGGACATTCTGCAGTGTTCAGTATGTCTCTTCATTTTCTGATGACTAGGAAATCTGAGCAAATCATCTCACACCTCTGATCTTTCTTGGATCTTTAGCCCATCTTTGTATTCCCCCCTCCCCCCGCCCCTCTTGTTTTGAGTGAGTTCCTCATAAAGGTCTGGATGTTAATTCCTTAGTAATTTCAGACATTGTTAAATCTTTTCTCCTATTTGGGAGTCTAATTGTTAACTTTGTCCACTGTAGCCTCCGTTGTAAAGAAACGCTTAGTTTTGTCACATACTTAACCTTTTATAAAATCTTACTGTGCTTTTGAGTTTTGTTTCATAACAAACCTTCCCAACTCTAGAGCACACAGGTATTCTCCCTTGCTTTTTAACACTAACCCCCACTCTCATCTATCACAAAACCCTTCTTTAATGGTGTAGTGCAGGGAGGGCAAACTTTTCCTTAAAGCCTAGATAGTAAGTATTTTTACTTTTATGGGCCACACACTCTGCCCCAACAACTCAGGCCAGCCTTGTAGTACAAAAGCAGCCTAGACAGTGTGTAAATGAAGGGGCATGGCTTTATGCCAACAGAACTCTATAAAAGCAGGTGGTAGGCTGAATTCAACCCTTGAGCTTTAAGTTGCTGACCCCTGGTCTATCGTGTGACAGACCCTGTCCTGCCTCAGTCTCCTGAGGGGAGGACAGGTAACCAGGCAGGGAGAATACAGAATCTCAGGCTGTGGTGGGGGTGGTCAGGGTGGCCTCCCTTGGAGGAGGGGGCATGAAGCTGGGACCTGAAGGACAAGGGGGAGCCGGGCAGGCACAGTCAGGAAGAAAGATCCTGCCCAAGGGGAGAGCTTACGCAGAAGCCTGGAGGCACAGGAGGGGATGGTGAGACGGGGACTCCCAAAAGTGCCCTGCCCAGTCTACGCCGGCCACCTCCACCTGCATCCCCACAGGCACCTTCAAGATCCAGAAGACGCGGCTGCAGCATGAAGGCTTCGACCCGTGCCAGATCTCGGACCGCCTCTTCTTCCTGGACATGAAGCAGGGACACTTCCTGCCCCTGGACCAGGGTGTCTACAGCCAAATCTGCTCAGGCGCCTTCTCCCTCTGAAGCCCCTTTGCTGTCCGGACACTCCTGGCCAGGCCCCTCAGGCGAGGTGGGCTGGGGCCGAGAAACTTGACCCCAGGAGCAGCGCGAGTCTCTCCCTTGCCCTCATTCTCCTCCGCCTGGTCCCCTGAGCTCTCTCCTTGCCCTTGTCTGCCTGTCTTCTGCTCCTGTGTCTGTGTGTGTCTCTTCTCTCTGCTTCTGGCCTTGGCCTCCCTGTTGTCCCCATCTGACCTCACCTCTTCCCTTGTTTCCTCCATCTCTCCCCTTCTCCCCGTTCTCCCTCTAGGCACAGAGCAGACATCTCCTGGGAACTTTGGTTTGCTTGGGGCTTCCATCTGTCGTCCCCTCTGGGTCTTAGACCCAGAGTGGGGCCTTCCCACTTCCCTCAGCTGTGCCTTAAAGAGCCCCACCCTGCCCAGGCCTCCTGAGACCACTGGGTAGCCCTGTGTGAAATCCGGGCAGGTCCCCAGTCCTCCATGCCCAACAGAGGAGTGAGGGGCAGTCTTCCCACCCTGCCCAGTGCAGGGGGCATCAGCAAGGGACCTCCCGGTCAGCTGGAAGTTACTCCTAGGCGGGGCCAGTTGCCTTTTGCACTTCGGATCCCTTGTGGGTCTCCCCCGCCCTGCCTGCCTTTCCTGATGCCCTGGAAGCTTCCAGAATTGACTGATCATTTGGATGTTGCTCCTACGTGATGTTCTTGTTTGGACACCTCCACGGAGCTCCTGCTGGAGGGACCTGAAGACTGCTGGGTGGCTGCCTGGCCTGCTACTCAGGCACTCACCATGGCAGATGCCTCTTGGGTGTCGCCATCCAGTGGTGGCTGTGGGAGCCCTGGGAGTGGCCCCAGTGGAGGAAAGTCTGCTGTTGCGGGCATCCGAGATGGCTTCAGGGGGAGTCACTGAATGTGCCTGCCGGCCTTGCTGGTGACAGCCTGGATAATCCGGCTGGTATGGCTTGGACATCCCCACTGCCTTCCTTGGTGGCCCATCCTGTACTCCTGTGGCTGGGGCTGGCCGCTCTGCCTGCCTGTCAGTTTCTCTGGCAGCACCGTCTGGCACCTAGAATACACAGTAGGGCCAGTAGCGGGTGACCCTGCATTGTTTTGAATGGGCCTTTCTAAGCACCAAGGTTTTGTTTCCTAGTTGAGTTTAAGAAATAAACCTGCAGAATACCCGGTGCCTGACAGGAGCCCAGTCATTTGTCCCTATGTGGCATGGAACGCTTTCTGAGTCTCAGAAGGCAGGATCCTCATTGAACATGCTCCACCAGACACAAGCAAGGCAAACTTGGCCTTTTCTTGCCCTATTGCCTGTTCTTCCACCTGCAAGGTCTTGCAGGAGAGGGGGACTCAGGTTAACATTCTTGCTGCTTTGCTGTAGCCTCTGGGGCCTCCCAAAACCCTGTACTGGCCTGTTTTTGCAGGGGAGGGTCGGCCCATCTACCTGTGGGTTCGAACAGCTACAGAGGATGGCCCAGAACAGAGTGCCTTGGCATGCGCTGCTGCCCAGGAAGGGTGCCCCTCTTTGTATGGGGCCAGCAGGTGTGGCTGTAGCTCTGGGTGAGAGCTGCTGAGCCTGTAGCTCTTGAGTGACTGAGCTGGAATTTTAACCCAAGATATTGGGCTCCAGGGTCTAAACCCTCAACTTACGCCCTGGCTGGTGTGGCTCAAGTTAGTTGGAGAATTGCCCTGTAAACTGATAGGTTGGGCGTTCAATTCCCAGTCAGGACACAAGCTAGGTTGTAGGTTTGATCCCAGATTGGGGTCTGTATGAGAGGCAACCAATCAATGTTTCTTTCTCCCTCCATCACTAAAATCAATAATCATTTTTAAAAAATTAAACTCAATTTCTACCTCCTGCTGTTCCCTCTCCAGTATTAGTGTCTATCTCGTCTCCACTTCTGAGGCCAGAGGAAGAAAGGTTCGGGGTGACAGCATTGGCTGGGAGGGGACACTGCGGGTATATTGGGATGGGCAAGGCCTTGGCTGGGTCATGGCTGATGAACCATCAATGTGTAAGGTGGGTCCTTGAATGCCCAGTCTGCAAGGAGAGGGAAGCTAGGTAGAGCCCTCTGACATGCTCAGTGAGGATGGGAGGGTCTGCTGCAGGTGGGTGTAGGTACGGTTCCCCTGGTGTACTGGTAAGTGCATTCTGGGTAACACCCCTTGAGACATCATGACCATCTCCATACGTCGTCATGGTCCCCCTTGCACAGATGAGAAAACAGGCACAGGGAGTGGAGTGAAATTGTCAGGAGCTACTGTCGAGAAAGTGGCCTGGTGGGGACCTTGAAGAGAACCTAAAGCCTGTGACTCTAGCTACAAGAGCGAAGGAAGTTCCCTCCAAGATGGCAGGAATCACCAACAGTAATGCACAGGTCACTGCATTGTGGGTTTTTATGTGTAACCACATGGATCATCCAGACCCCTGTGAGTCAGGATCTTGGTGGATCCGTGTTGATCTACCAGGTATCTTTCAAGTCCTAGTGGTTTCCTGGCCTCGGCCTGCACCTGTCTGCATAGGGCCCACTTTACACATTGATGGCCCATCTAGCCATGACCCTGCACCTGGTGACATGTTTGAGCATGCTGGTGACAACAATCCTGATGACACCTAGGATCAGAATCTATTTTTAAAACTTACTGATTTTAGAAACATGGATTTGCTCCTCTTAAGCATTCACTATTTGGTACTTGTATGTGCCTGACTGGGACTCAAACCCACAATCTTGGCATATCAGGATGACACTCTAACCAACTGAGCTACCTGGCCAGAGCCTCTATGGTCTTTCTTCTTTTTTTCTTAAATTAATAGACTTTATTAGAGCACTTTGCAGTTTACAGAAAAATGAGTGGAAAGCACATCCTACCTACCTTCTCACCATTTTAAAAAAACGATTTTACTTAGTGAGAGGGAGAGGGGAGAAAGAGAAACGTATCAGGGGCTGAACCTGCAACGGAGGCATGTGGGACATCATCCAACCAACTGAGCCAAGCCACTCATGGCCCCTCTCACTTATTAACATCTTGCATTAGTGCTGCATTTGTTAAAATTGATGAGCCAATATTGATTCATCATTAACCGAAGCCAGCAGTTTGTCAGGTTCACTCTGTGTTGTAAATTCTATTTCAATAAATGCATAATGACATGTACCCACTGTTATCATAGAGAACAGTTTCTTCCCTCTAAGTAATCTCTGTGCATCTCTTCACCCCTTCCACCCCCACTCCACACAACCACCGATATTTTTCCTATCTCCATAGTTTTGCCTTTTGCAGGATGTCATGCACTTGGAATCACAAATTATGCAGCCTTTTCAGACCGGCTTCTTTCACCTGGCAAGATGCATGTAAGCTTCCTCCTCGGCTTCAGAGCTTTGCATTTTATGCCAAATGAAAAGCTGTATCCTATTTGCGCCACTCTAGGAGTTCCTCCCTGCAACAGCCCGAGGGGAGGCCTCTGGGTCCTCACAGAGACAGAAGTCCTCAGGGAGCATTTGCAGAAGGAATTCAACAAGTACGTTTTCAGCTCCTGCTGTGTACCAGGCATAACTGAAAAGGTTTTCGAGGTATCAGTGAGCAAAACAAACGGTGCGTTCTTGGAGCTTCTATTTTAATCAAAATGCGTCCTCTTCCAGGAAATCTCACATCTCCTTCCTCCACTCCAACCCACCCCTTATCCCCATCTTGGGACTCCCAGCTCTGGACTCCCCTTTCTGGCCTCGCTCTGACACTACGCGGTTGGGAGCAATTTCGCCGGCTCTACCAGCCCCAGCCCAGGACAGAACTTAGGTCGAACTTGCAAAAAAATCTATTGAGCTCTGAAGGCCCAAGGCCCCGCCCTACCGCGGCTTCACACTGAAACTGCGCATGTGCCGCAGGCGGCTGCTCAAAGGGACTGAGCTTTCGGCTGCCGGCCTAGCCTGTACGCAGGCGCACTGGCGACCGCCGGGATCGCTTCCGCCTCCCGCCGTCGCCATGGCTGCACCGGCCCCGGGCCTCATCTCGGTCTTCTCAAGTCCGCAGGAGCTCGGCGCTTCGCTGGCGCAACTGGTTGCCCAGCGGGCCGCGTGCTGCCTGACTGGGGCTCGCGCCCGCTTTGCGCTTGGCCTGTCGGGCGGTAGTCTCGTCTCCATGCTGGCTAGCGAGCTGCCCGCCGCCGTCGCTCCCGCCGGCTTAGCCAGCCTCACGCGCTGGACGCTGGGCTTCTGCGACGAGCGCCTGGTGCCGTTCGAGCACGCTGAGAGCACGTACGGCCTCTACAGGGTGAGAACTACGGGGGCCGCCGGGGGTCACGCCGAGAGGGCCGCGCCTGCCGCCTGAGCGCGGCTACGGGGGCCGCCAGGGGTCACACCATGCTCTTTGCATCTTATGTGGGTGGGCACTGGGAATGGTCAGCCTGGTGCCCTGAGAGCTCACCTACGTCTCATCTGCACTGTCACCTGGGTGGGTCAGTAGGGGTTTCGAAACTCCTCTTCAAGCTTTATCAGGCAGTCAGGCAGAGGGAACGGCCTGGAAAAAGGCACGGAATGAAGCAGAGTGGCTCATGCCAGGGACCTAGGGAAGTTCAGGGGCCGCATCTTGGTGCGAGCGCAGAGTTACGGAAAGAGCCAGGCAGGTGGGTTCTGGCGTGGAGCCTGGGCTTCAGTTTCCTTATCTACAACCTGGACGAGTTTTCCATGGTCTCCACGCAGCTTGTGCGTTAATGACCTTCGAGGCGAGTTGTCTGAATCCTGGCCCCAGCGCATATAGAATCAGGGGAACACTCCCCGTTTCACAAGCAGGGAAACGGCCTTTGAGGAGTCATGGTCTGCCCTAGGGTTCCCCAGCTTCGTCTGTGCCTACTCCTGCTCCGGAGGAGGAAAATCTGCCCAGGGAGGTGTTGGAGGGGTGGCTTGAGCAGGGGAGGAGCCTCAGGTCACTCCCGTCCTGGTTGTGTTGCATTCTTTTTGCATAGAAGCTTGAGCTGATGATTTCCTTTTTTTCTTTCCTCCCTCAATCTCCTTGCCCCGCTCCACCTCCAATAAGGTTTATTGATTACCAAGCGCTTGATCCCCATCATCTCATGAAACCCCACAATGGCCTATGAGGCAAGGGCTGTCAGTACCTCCGTTACTTCATGGATGGAGAAACAGGCCAGAGAGGGGTGCTTACCTGCCTGAGTCACCTAGTGACTAGTAGGGGAACCGGAATTTCAACCTGCCCAGCCTGACCCCATGGTGTACAGCTTGTTTATAGGCTGGAGTAGGAAGGTCAGCAGGGCTTCATGGAGGGCACAGAGGGGCTGGGTTTTATCCCAAGGACCAAGGAACCATGGGGGCTTTGAAACAAGGTTGTGTTGTGGCCAGACAGGTGCAGGCCAAGGCCAGGAAACCACCAGGACTTGAAAGACACCTGGCAGATCAACATTGGGATCCACCAAGATCCTGACTCACGCGGATCTGGATGTTCCATGTGATTACACATAAAAACCCACAATGCAGTGACCTGTGCATTGCTGTTGGTGACACTCCCTTCATATGCCACAGACTCACCTGCTCTCCAAGCTACCCATCCCTGACAGCCAAGTGATCACCATTAACCCCCAGCTTCCTGTGGAGGAGGCAGCTGAGGACTACGCCAAGAAGCTGAGACAGGTGAGTCCCTTAGAGCAGCTACAGGGAGACCTCGTCTATGCAGTGGCCACTCCCAGGACAGAGCAGTTCTGCGGGTAGCGCTCTGTGGTTGTCCTTGACAGGAGCTTCCCTGGGGTCAGTCGGCAGACCCCTTTGAGAGGCCACAACCCAGCCCTGGGGTCCCCAAGGGTGCCTTTACCTGACATCCTGATAGTTGGCCCGGATCCTCATATCTTAGAGACAGTTGTGTCCCCAAACTCTTGGCCAGTTGGGCGGGTGAAACATGGAACTTCAAAGATTAGAGTCCCTTTTATGCAGGTGAGGCTGAGCCTTGCTCCCTCTGTTATAGCTACTTGTGATTCTTTTTCTGACAATTGTCTCTATGTCCTTTGAGCCCCTCCTCACAACTTCTGTGGACTGTCTTCTTCCCCAACCCAGGCCTTCCAAGGGGACTCCATCCCAGTTTTTGACCTGCTGATCCTGGGCGTGGGCCCCGATGGCCATACCTGCTCGCTCTTCCCAGACCATCCCCTCCTGCAGGTGAGCGCACCCACATAGTCCCCGCCTGCACCTGAGCTCTGGCCTCTGCTGTCTGAGGCTTCTGGAGGGAGGCCAGTAGGTGCCTACAGCAGGGTTTGAGTCAGCTTCTGCCAACAGGCATGCCCACTGAGCTTAATCCTCCTGAGCCTCAGTTTTTGCATCTTATAATGGGGGCCTTAAATCAAGTCCCACAAGGTTAGTAGGATGGGATGGAATGGCGGATGGACCGCGCCTGATGTGTGAGTGCTCAAGCAGTCGAAGTGACATTGTCCTCCTGCCTCTACATGGGCCTCCCTCCCCTAGGAACGAGAGAAGATTGTGGCCCCCATCAGTGACTCCCCAAAGCCACCTCCACAGCGTGTGACCCTCACACTTCCTGTGCTGAATGCAGCCCGAACTGTCATCTTTGTGGCTACTGGAGAGGGCAAGGCAGCTGTTCTGAAGGTAAAGCTGAGGGCTATTCCCAGGAAGGTTATGGGCACAGGGCCTGGGATTAGAATATGACTCCAGGTGCTGGAAGCACCAGATCCCAAGATACTTCAGTAATTCTTGAGTTGAAGGGGAGAGGGAAACTGCAATTATAGGTGGGTTAGGAATGAACAATCACAAAATGAAATTGATGAGATGAGGCCAAAGCTACACTCAGAGGTAAGTTCATAGCGTTAAGAATACATTTTTAGAAAAAATATTAACTAGAAAACTATCAAATAAAAAAAACCAAGTACTTTTGAATTAGAAAAATGAGCAATAATGTAAATCTAAGTAAAGTCAGCAGAAGGAATAAATCAAAGTCAGAAATTAATGAATTGGTTAATACTGTGAGAAGTTTCATGGGAAACAGTTCCAAAAGCTAGATAAACCCCTGGCAAAGCTAATCAAGAAGGAAAAAAAATATATGTAGGAATAAGTAAAAAAGTAGGAATAAGAAGAAAGGTATAGTTATGCATAATATTTTATAAAAATATGAAATAAATTAAGATTAAAAATAAATTAAGTGAGAAATATATTTTAATTGCCATCACTGAGAAGATGACCAACAACTATAGGAGAAACTGGAACTATTTTAAAATATAAATAAGTAATTCTCTCCCCCAAACCGTCAGGCCCAGATGCCCTCACAGGGGTGGCTAATGTTGGGGTTTAGAGTGCAGACCCTAAAGTGCAGCAGACCCACGCCCCTGCCAGTGGCCCCTGCCCACTGTGGCCTCAGATGGCCACCACCAGCCTCAACTTTCCCACTTAAAGGTGGGTCATGAGGGGGCCCCTCCCCATGGACCCCTTGAGCGAGGCCTCTTGGAACCTCCGTTTCCCAGATTGTAAAATGGGGTGAGAACAGAGGCAACTTCACGGGTCTGTGGGCAGAAGTCGGTGAGTTATGAACACACAGCTCCTGGGGCAGCCCCGCTGGTGAAAAGCAGTGTTTGTTATGATGTCCGCCCACCATGACGTCTCATCAGCGGTCGATGCACCACAGCCCGTGGGCCAAATCCCACCAGCCATGAAGGGTTTTTACCTTTTGTGGTTGCGGGACAAAAAAAATCAAAAAAAGAATAATATTCCTGGACATGTAAAAATTCAACAGAATTCAGATGTCAGTGTCCCACCAATGAAGGTTTGTTGGGACACATGCCCTTATGTCAATGCGAGCCAAAACCGTGACTCCCTGGTCTTTGCAGAAAAGGTGCGCCAGCTCCATATTCTACAATCGCAGATGATAGGAAGGGAAGGGCCCTGTCCCTGCTGACCATTTTAAGCTGAGACAGCTGGAAGGACAACAACACATCTTGAAAGTAGGAGAGCCCGTGGACTCTAGTCAGTGGGGTCCTGAGAGCTCTGAGGGGTGCCGGGGGTGCAGCCAGGCCTCATGAATGTACTCTCTTCACACAGCGCATTTTGGAGGACAAGGAAGACAACCCGCTCCCTGCTGCCCTTGTCCAGCCCCACACCGGGAAGCTCTGCTGGTTCCTGGACGAGGCAGCAGCCCGACTCCTGACCGTGCCCTTCGAGAAGCATTCCACTTTGTAGCTGGTCCCCGGGGACGCCACCGTTGGGACCATGTGCAGCCTGAGGGGGCCGGGACCTTCTGGGGCTGGGCCTCTCCACCACCGTGCTTTGGGCTTCATTTTTAAAAAGCCACGTGGTGCCCTGACTGGGGTGGCTCAGCGGGTTGGGCATCGCCCTGCAAACTGAAAGGTTACTGGTTTGATTCCCAGTCAGGGCACAAGCCTGGGTTGTGGGTTCTGTCCTTAGTTGCGGGCGTGTGAGAAGCAACTGATCGATGTTTCTCACACATCGCTGTTTCTCTCCCTCTCCTTCTCCCTTCCCCTCTCTCTAAAAATAAATAAATAAAAAATAAAAAGCCACAGGGTGCTGACAGGGCCCTCCCACCAGCCCTGCCCAGATACTAAAAGGAGCATTTGCTCCAAGCCTCCGCTGTCCTGTCCTTGGCAGGCAGCGGAACCAGGGGCTCCCAGGCTCATCTGAAGCCCTTGTGCCGGCGGGTGGAGGACAGGGATGGGCTACCTTGATGAGTTTCCTGAGGCTGCGGAGCAAAGTACCACAGAATTTATTGATCTGCAGTCCTAAAGGCCAGATGCCTGAAATCAAAAGTGGTGGCAGGGTTGGTTCCTCCTAGAGGCTCTGAGGGAAAGTCTGTCCCAGACGTCTCACCCGGCTTCTGGGGGCTGCCAGCCACCCTTGGCTTGTGACAGCAGCACTCCAGTCTCTCCCGCAGTCACATGGCTTGCTCATGTGAGTGTCTCTCTGTGTCCTCTTCCACTCAGGATACCTGACATTGGATATAGGACCACCCTAAATCCAAGATGAACTCATCTCAAGATCCTTAGCTATGCCCTGGCTGGTGTGGGTTCAGTGGACTGAGTCCCGGCCTGCAAACCAATGGGTCGCTGGTTCGATTCCAGTTAGGACAGGTGCCTGGGTTTGCAGGCCAGGTCCCCAGGTGTGGTCAGTGTATCTTACGCGCATTCATGTTTCCCTCTCCTTCCCTTCTCTCTCTCTAAAAATAAATAAATAAAATCTTGAAAAAAAAAGATTCTTAGCTAATATTTGTAAAGACCCTTATTCCAAATAAGGTCACATTTTGAGATTCCAGGGGTTAAGGCATGGACATAACTCTGTGTGTGTGTGTGTGTGTGTGTGTGCGCGCGCGTGTGTGTGTGTGAGAGAAAATACATGTAACTGTGTGTGTGTGTGTGTGTGAGAGAGAAAATACATGTAACAAAGTTTGTGTGTGTGTGAGAGAGAAAATACATGTAACAAAGTTTGTGTGTGTGTGTGTGTGTGTGTGAGAGAGAGAGAGAAAATACATGTAACACAAAGTTTGCCGTTTTTAGGTGTCCCTTTCAGTAGCACTGTTGTACAACCATCCCCCCATCCATCTCCAGACTTTATCTTCCCAAATTGAAACTGTTCCTATTAAACTTGACTCCCTACCTTCCTCCCCAGCCCATCATTCTACTTTCTGTCTCTGAATTTGACTAGGGACCTCCTGTAATGGGATCATAGGATAACTTTTGTGTCTGGCTTCTTTTAGCATAGTGTCCTCAGGTTCACTCGTGTTGTCATATGTGTTACAATTTCCTTCCTTTTTGCAGCTGAATAGTATTTGGGGATGGGCCACGTTCTGCTTCTCCATCCGTCGACACTTGGGTTGCTTCCATTGTTTATTTAGCTCTTGTGAATAATGCTGCTGTAAATATGGGTGTACAAATGTCTGTTTGAGACCCTGTTTTCAATTTTTGGGGTGATATGCTCAGAAGTAGAAATGCTGGGTCATGTGATAATTCTATTTTTAATTTTTGAGTAACGGTCATACTATTTTCCACAGCAGGTTACCATTTTACATTCCCACTAACTGCGCAAGAGTTCCAATTTCTGCCATCACCAACACTTGCTATTTTCTTTGTGTGTGTTTTCGAAGGTTTTATTTATTTTTAGAGGGGAAGGGAGGGAGAGAGGGAAACATCAATGAGTTGGTGGCTCTTGAGCACCCCCTACTGGCGACCTGGCCTGCAAGCCGGGCTTGTGCCCTGACCGGGAATTGAACCAGCGACCCTTTGCTTTGCAGGCTGGCACTCAATCCACTGAGCCACATCAGCCAGGGCTATTTTCTGTGTTGTTTGATAGTGAGCTGTGGGTGTATCCCTTTGGGGAGGATACAGTTCAAGCCACCACAGACACTGGCTGAGTTCCCACGGCACACACAGCCAGCCTTGACCTCTGCACTCAGCCCGGCTGCGGCCCTGCTCAGAGCCTTGAATGTGCCAAGATGCCCCTTCGTCTCGGCTGTGCTGGGGCTGCAGTGTGTGCATCTGCTCGGCCCGCCCAGCTTCTCTGGCCCCAGGAACCTCAGTGCAGGGGCTGGTGGGCACAGCGTGGAGAGCATGGGGGTCTGGGGGGCGTCCCGCAGACGCACCTGAAGGGCACGTGGGAATTGAAACCTCGAAGCTGAAACCCCAGAAAGAGAAGTGTCCTTCAACGTCTTACTGGGGTCAGTCACTCAGATGTGAAAGGGAGGAAGTGGGCCAAGACCTGAGGGGAAGGAAATGGGTTGAGAAAAGCAGAGGAGGGTGTTGAAAGCTGCCCAGCCGTGGGCTTGAGCCAGTGCCGGTGGCCATGAGCCCTGGGGCAGAGGGATCCCACAGGGGTCCCTGCCTGGAGCATGTATCTCTCCTGTGCCCCTCGCCCTGTGGCAGCTGCTGTCCCTGTGTCGGCCCTGCCTGAGGCTCCCTTTCATCTCGGGTGAAACCTGCCCCTCCTGCTGGCCCAGGAGCCGCCACGAGGCCCGTGCAGCCCCCGTCCTCCTAACATCTGCCCGCCCCCTCCTCTGCCACACCCACTTTGCGCTGTTCCCGCTGTTCCCGCCTGAGGGCCTTGGCGTCCGCTGCCCCCAGCCTGGTCTCTCCCCTCCAGCCTTTTGCTTGGCTTGGACGCTCACTTCCTTAGCTCTTGGTGCAGCATTCCTCCCTGCCCCCTCTGCCCCCAGCATTTTCTACCCCCTCCGGTTCCATTTTCTCCCCACCCTTATCATTACCTGACAGCTTTGTTGGGGCCCAGGGAGGCTGCAGGGAGCTGAGGGGGCTGGAGGGAGCCCCCAAGGGATGAGACGGGGATCTGCAGGGCCTGGTATTCCCCCCAAGGGCATGGGGAGCCGCAGGAGGTACCCGAGGTCAGGGCTGGGAATTCGGGGTGTGCTGGGGACTAGAGATAAAGGCACCTTCAAGAGTCACTTAAAGGATGAAATGGCCCTGGCTGGGTAGCTCATTTGGTTAAAGCATCCTCTTGATATGCAAAGGTCTCAGGTTCTATCTTCCTTCAGGACACACACTAGAATCAACCAATGAAAGCATAAATAAGTGGAACAATGAATTGATGTTTCTCTCCTTCCTCTCTCTAACATCAATAAATAAATATATACAAAAAGAAAAGAATGAAACGGAGGTCAGGTGATTGCTTGGTGGGGCTAGGGAGGGTGTTGGGGTGAGGGAGGAATCAGTGCACCCCGCACTGGACACCCACCCCTCCCCTCGCCTGGGACCCCAGCACTTGCTCTCCCAGCCCCAACACTGACCCCCCGGGACTGGGGGTGTCTATCTAGCTCTGTCTCCCAGCCTAGGGGCTCCTGAGGGGTGGGCCAGGGCTGAATCCCCCTAGCATTGCCCAGCATGGGGCCACAGAGCGGGGGCATTAGGTGGAGGTGGATGCCCTGTCTCTGCCCAGCCTCTCTGCCTTGCCACCCACACCAACAACCTGTTGCCCAGTCCTGCCAGACAGCGGCCCTGCATCCCTCCTCCAAAACCAGCCAGCATTTTTGTCTCCCACCCTGCACCCACTCTCGGGGCTGCCCCAGCAGCCCCTACAGGGACCAGCAGCCTCGGTCCCTGGGGAGTTGGGAGGACGCAGGTGCAGGGTGGGGCAGGGCAGGGGGCGGGCATCCTCATTGCCCCCAACACACACATGGGGCGCCAGGCTCTGGCATCTGGTCCCTGGCACTTTTCCCCACAGCACCCAGGTCCCTCACAGGCCACCCTGCTTCCACAGAGCCTCCGAGCAGAGGAAGCTGGGGAGCCGCGGGGTGGGGAGGGGTGTCTCTTCCACTCTAGGGGATCCTGGGACACTGCGGCAGGATGGGTGGGCGGCCTTCAAGCCCCCTGGACAAGCGGCAGCAGCAGCACCTGAGGGGTGAGCCGGTGTGGGGACGGTTGGGTGGGGAGGGGGTTCAGGGTTGTCAGACGCATAGGATGCCCTATTAATGTGAATTCCAGATAAGCAATGAATGATTTTTTTTAGTAGAAGTATGTCTCAAATTTTGCATGAGGGTGAAATTATGCTAAAAAAAAAATTCCTTGTTTACCTGAAATTCAAATTTAACTGATGTCATGTGCTTTTATTTGGTAAATCTGGTAACCCAAATCAGGACATGGGTTTAGAGTGGAGGGCGTGGGCTTGGCGGGGGATGCCCTGGGCCCAGCCAGGTCCTGGGGGATAATCCTTCCAGGTGGGCAGGGACCAACAGATCCCTCTGCGTGGGCCCTGGGCACTAACGAGCAGTGCTGATTTGAGACAGCGGGTGATCAGTGCCTTCCATCCTCCTTGGCTGAGTACTTACTGGGTGCTGGGCACCAGGAATATGATGAACTCATGATCTAGATCAAGAAAGAAGGTCAAGTTATCATTACATGAATGGATTCAATAGGCTGTTATACAATGTTCAGGGTTTGTTTTTTTTCCATAGTGGCTTAAGGCAAAGATTTATTTCTCCCTCCTATGGAGTGGTACAGTGGCAGGCAGGCTGATAAAAGTCAGACAACCCAGCTTCTCCCATCTCATGTCTCTGTCATGCGTGGCTTCTGTGCCACAGAAAGGCTGCTGAAGCTCTAGTCATTGGGTCCACATTCTGGGCAGCAAAATGGATTGTTTTACCTGCAGTCAAGTGAGTGCATCTTAGGAGACAGCTTGAAGAACTTTAACATCTGTGTGAACACCTCTTAGATCAGGATACAGAATATCTCTGTCACCCCAGAAAATTTCCATGTGCTAGGGTAAGGTTTTTAAAAGATTTTGAAAATTTCTCTAGGTGAGGAGTGTGAAAAAAATTTTCAGGTGCAATGGAACTGTTCATGATCTCGATAATGGCAGTGGTTTCTGGGTGTGGACACTTGTGAAATCTCATTGAATTCTATGCTTCATGCAATTAAAGTTTGTTGTACATTAGTTATAAATTAAGCCGGAGTCCCTTAACTCCCACCCCATCCCCATGTGGATGGAAACAGGCAGCAGAGGATTAGGGGTGAATGGAATTTGGAGCGTGTCTTGTGGGGTAGCTTTGGGGTCTGGGGTGAGAGTAGAAGCCCACCAATTACTTCCATCCTGTTCTGCTTTCCTCTGGCAGGGGCCTGATTCAGCCACCTCACTGTCCCCTTATCCCTGCAGGCCAGGTGGATGCCCTGCTGAAGAACTTCCTGCCCCAATACCGCGTGCAGCTAGCAGCCTCCATCCTGCGACAGATTTCCCAGGAGCTGGTCCCCCAGGAGCTGGCTGGAGGCCAGCTGCTGCACAGCAAAGTGAGTGCCACAAACGGGGGTAGAGGGCTGCCGCGTGAGCGAGGCTGCGGAGGCTGTTGGTTCAGTGTTGGGGGGGTGGCCCTCCTCCTGCCTTTGTCCTTGCTGGTGCCACAGCCTGGGGTGACTATAACATTCACTGGCATGTCCTGGGATGGGCGCTGGAGACAGAGCAGAGACCAAAACAGATCCCACTCTGCCCTCTAGGGCTCATGGTCTGATTGGGAAAAATGACCCCAAACAAGTTAACATATCATGACACAGGATAACTTCTGATAGGTACTGGGAAAACAAGAGGAAGGGCGCTGTTGGGTGTGGGAAGTTGAGGAGCAGGGGGCCCCTCCGAACTGGGATGCAAAGGATGAGAAGGAGCCAGATCTGGAGCCCAGAATGGGACGGGAGTTCTAGGCAGAGGGTGCAGCCGATGCAAAAGGCCTGAGGTTGGAAAAGCCTTGCCCTGTCTG